CGCTAGAGCACTAAGATCGTCTACTCAGTTACTCCTGGTGCAGCTAAGATCTCGGCTGAAGTCTAGAGGTGACCGTACGTTTGCCTTGGCTGCACCTGATTTATGGAATAACCGCGTGTCTGATTCTATCCAATCATTTAAATCACGGTTAAAAACCTATTTATTTAACCTTGCCTTTCCTGCTCGTTAATGCCTGTAGCAGATCCCTAGACTCACTCTGTATTACCTTTTATATATATCTTTTATGGCTTTGTGCTTTTAACATGTTTTACTTGATATGCATTTTATGCTATTCCTGTGTATTAGTGACACTGACCTGTTAGCATACGTGGTACTTTGTTATGGTCCTATAATATAATATTTATAATATTTATAGCTTATTTTCTGTCTTTTATGTGAAGCACTTTGGTATACCGTTGGTTTTTAAATGTGCTCTATAAATAAAGTTGTGTATTGTATTGTATAAATCCCAAATTAGCGACTTTATATTTTTTTAGTGCTGTCAGGGTTAACGCGCCGTCATCACGACTAACGTGATTAACAATTAACCCATCTGGAGCGCAGACTGAGTCAAAATCCCTGAATTGTCTCTGTCAAAACATTTTGCGCAGTTTGTCCAAAGTTTGTTCATTCTCTGCTCCAGATGGGTTGCGTTAATCCTGATGACCACGTTAACGCCGACAGCCTAAATTTTTCAGGGAAATTACTTCGTCCATGTTTGGACTTCTTCTGTGTTGTAAACGCGTCACCTTTCCAAACAAGCCACACATCTTCAGTCTTTATCTAATTGTACTGTCATGAATTTTGGCATTTAACATGCTAACTGAGGCCTGTAGAGTCAGAGATATAGCTCTTGGGTAGACCAGCAACTGACTTAAATGTTTTACACCAGTGAATGATCTTGCTTCCTGTAGCCTGATGACATTCAAACTGTTTTCCCTTATAATCCTTCCCACACTGTTGGGCTTCTTTCCTCTTTGGCATTATGTTTACACACACCTGAATGCTCCAGACCAGCAAGCTGCCAAAACTCCTGTTTTTATAGAGGTGCTCACATTTGCTGATCATCAGTTACTCAACTGTACTTGATTATCAGCACCTGGCTGCTACTTATCCTCTTAATTCCTACAGAAGCAGTAATGGTGTACTTAGTTTTTTACCCACTCCTTCTGCACTATGGCTTAATTTTTGTTTTGCATGTTTTATAATTCATCTGAGGTTGTATTACCTGATTTTGTATGCAAAAACCTTAAGATTTGAATTGTAGTATATCCGACACACGTAAAGTAGTGAATGCACCTCTTTTGTGCATTTGCATTTGCATTAGTGCCACTGAGGCACAAATGCTAGACATAGCCTAAGGGAATGGTCTTTCTCATCTATCTTCATCTGCTGTGCAGTAAACGCCTCTTCACTTATACAGGAGCTCATTACTCACAGTGGCAGCCATTTGAATCTTTTATCAGAGGGATTTTTAATTGAACACTGGCAAATGTGCTCCAAACAAATGGGCTTCAGCGAGCCTGCGAGCTGTGTGTTTGTATGCGTGCGAGTGAAATATTCATCGGGTGAGTTTGCGCAACGCCGTAGCCGTCTGGTTCTGCAAAGTGTACACATTAGCTACCAGCCCACATGGGAGATGGCGAGCTGTCTGTAGAAACTGTGTGTGATTCACTCACAGGGAATCATTTCTAGAGTGTAAAAGAAGTCGTAGAAGAACTCTGGAGTTTTAGGGCCTTAAAGTCCCGGAAAAACACCTGCAGCGGATAATCAATCCCACCTGAACAAGTAAATGAAACTACTTTCTGTTCTTGTTATTTTAAAGATCAGCAGTATTTCCCCCTATTTGGAATCAATGCGCATCACATTTGATTGAGTAAAATTTAGCTGTTAGTGAACAATTAGGCAAAACCTAATCATACTGTTGCCCCTTTTATTCTCAGCCACGAATCATTAGTCAAACTTAAAGACAAACTGATAACAGACTCATAACCACAGCCATACTTTTATTTTAGTTCCTATCTTCACCTTATTCAGGACTTAATCATGAACTCTATGCTTGAAATGGGGTTCATCTTCCATTTCTTTCCATTCACACGACTGCTAAATCGTTTGAAATCCTGGGTGCACACTTGCGTGTTGACTTCAGCTATTGGACCCACCATCACGGATAAGTGGTCGAAGATTTAACCAGTAATCTGATGCTTTCCTGGGGTGAAATGCCACAAGGTTGTGGGTTACAAAAGGGTCAGAGCTTGTTCATCCTCCTCCTCATCTTGTTCTCTGACCCTGTTGCTCACTGTCTTATTAAATACAGTCAGAACGACAGCAGGTCAGGAGGGCAGCAGTAACAAAAATGCCTTCAATGGATATATTCAAGCTCAAAGCAGCCTGCGAGCTTTGCTATGAGGAAGCAAACATTCGTGCATTCTCACATTTTAGTCTCGCTCAGAGGCGTGTAGCTATGCATTACCCTGATATCCAGTAAAAAATACTGTGGGTACTCTCGTGACTATAGAAGGCATCCAAGCTTCCCAGCTAAGGTCGCCATGGTGTTGGACTGAAGGCACACAAATGAGACTAAACACACCAGCAGCCTTGATCCTGTTTCTCTCTGTGCGCCCCTACTGAGAAGCGATCGGAGACGAGTTCTCTGAACAACACTGTTAGTCTGAGTAATTGACTGCGCCAGACTTAAGTCATGTTTTGGCTCAAATTGCACATTGTGAAGAAAGTTGAATTTCTTTTCACTGTAATTCCAACTAATGCACTGTTCGGCTCTCAGCCTAATGGAAACACAACAAGCACTCGGATCATTTGGAGAAAATATTAGGCATAAGCTGAAAACATGTTCAACCTTTTATTTCCCCGATCAAACAGGGGATGCAGTCTACCATACAGGTATACAGTATTTAATTGCAATAATTGGGGCTGAATTTCAGTGCAAGTCTTAGTGCCAGATCACAGCAGTGGCTTTTTCCAAGAAAACCCTTAAGCTGTAGTAATGGATCAAATAAAGTCTCCTTATTTCTTAGTAAACGCGAGTATGTCAGAAAATTCATATTGGGGAAAAAAAGGATAAAGCATGAACAGAAAGTTCCCGTTTTCCTAAAGGTTAATCTGGATTTCCTACATATTGTCACGTCTGTTTTGTTTTAGTTAAACCAGCACTCACAATAGCAGGGCCGTCTAAACGGAACATGGCCGTAAGTAATGTTACCAATTACACCTGTGTTTATCCTGCGAAGGAAGGTCAGCAACGCCGCTCTGCAGACGGGCTGTGCTGTGCATGCTGTGGTGTGTTTAGGGGTCCGCTGAGACCCTGAAGCACAACACAGCACTCATTATAGTTATTAGTTACACCTGTTCTGATTCTGCTATGGTACGCAGAAGCTTCTGCTGTAAAGCTGGTCAATAGACTCAACAATTACCAATATTTAAAAAATAGGAAAAATATAATGGCTTATAGATTCACAGGTTTCATTGCTGTACCATTAATGATGGCTTTTGACACTTTGACACACTTTGACGACCTGGGTTTTTCCAAGGGTTGCTTCCACGTCTAACCCACAGCTGCTCATTTTGTTCTATAGGCAGACTTGAAGTATGACAGAACCACCTTAGTTCAGAAAAGAGCTGGAATAAATAGCTTGCTTGCTGTCTTGTTGATCCTGGTCAGGATAGTCTTAGGCGCTTAAAAAAGAAAGCGGCTGGACTTCTTTAAGTTTAAGGCATTTCACCTCTTATCCAAGAGGCTTCTTCTTTGTAGCTCTAAAATCAAACGGTGGAGAGTCCCAGGTATTTAAACCTTAGAAGGGGCTGTCCCTCGCATCAGGTGACCTCAGTACACTACATCACAGGGTGGGGCAAAGTCTCACAGTGGTTTCACCCAAAACCTCTGGTAGTAATGACCCAAGCACATAGTTAACAGTGGGTCAATGACCACATGTTTGAGGGACAACCCCACTAAGGTTAAAATACCTCAGACTCTTCACCTTTATGTTTTAGACCTGAATGAGCCTCGTGGATTGATGGGGAATTTAGTCGCTTTCTTTTTAAGCTGATAGGAGTTGTTAGGAGTTGTTTTCCTGGTATTTCACTCCATCATTAGATGGTAAATGGCCTGTATTTATATAGCGCTTTACTAGTCTCTAAGGACCCCAAAGCGCTTTACATATCCAGTCATCCACCCATTCACACACTGGTGATGGCAAGCTACATTGTAGCCACAGCCACCCTGGGGCGCACTGACAGAGGCGAGGCTGCCGGACACTGGGACCACCACCAGTAGGCAACGGGTGAAGTGTCTTGCCCAAGGACACAACGACCGAGACTGTCCAAGCCGGGGCTCGAACCGGCAACCTTCCGATTACAAGGCGAACTCCCAACTCTTGAGCCACGATCGCCCGCTAGATAAAACCACTTCAAGCCTTTACATTAAACATTTCACCACATTTTCAAAATCTTCATTCCATATTTAGCGATGAGGGAACAAAATCCCATCACAGATCGTTAACGTTACGTGTGTTGAATATGACACGTAAAATCAAATACAAATGGCGACCCAAGCATCGCCATTGAGAGCTTGCTGACATTTAGTTTAAAGCACCACTGTGTGCAGCTTCTCATAGGTGTAGGAAGGTCTAACCCCGCTTTTTTTTGCAGAAGTTTTAAGCAGATTTTGGTTTGATCTTTTTCACGATAGTATTCATTAGGGGCCACACTCCCTATATCCACATTTTTTTGAACCTCTCATTTCAAAGCATTTCAGCCCTTTTCCCTGACATTGAAACATTTGTAATCTCTAGCAGATAATCTCTACAAATCTCACCCATGTACAATTCATATACACACAAACCCCTGACACATGCACTCGCACACCTAAATGCTGAAAAGCCTCAGCTCAGTCTCTTCCTGCTTAGTTTTACTGAGTTCTCTCAGGAAGCTTCTGTTCCTGACAAACCAAGCAGCTGTCCTCTGCTTTTTCCCCATCTCCCCAGGAGACTGAGATCAGCACCAGAAGGAAAGAGTGTGAAGCGCTTGATGCAGAGGTGAAGAAAAAGAATCAAACATGTCAGACTTTGGTAAGTGCCCCAAGAATATACTTTGGCCTCTGAATGAAAAGGATGGAGGCTAAAATTGATTTGTACCCTGAGAGCTTTGCCTTCTATCATCACACACAAGCCTCCCTTGAGAAAACGAGTGGCAGTGATAGCATGGTTCCCTGGCAGTGACTGAAATGAAAAAAAAAAAAATTGGAACAATTAATTGCAGGGTGCAGTATCTGTGGGTTGGGTTTTGTTGGCATGGGGACCACACTTGAGAATGAGCGATGCACATTGCTGTAGTAATTACTTGTTGTGAGTGATCGTGCACAAACCGAAGAAATGCTGCGCATCTTGTGCAGTAGTATCTTCACGCTGTGGCTTTATTGGCTTCTTTTGTATACGCAGTCGCTCGGTACAACATAGCTGTGATGTAAATGAACAGAGGTACACAGCGCTGTGTGTGTGTGGTCACAACTGCGAAAGGTCAGAGATATGTTACACAACTCTTTTTCACTTGGTGGTTCTTTAAGGACATTTTCTCATAATGCCCCAGAAATGTCACTCTGCTTCCCGCTGGAGTGGCCTTGACTCAGGACAAAAGGTAAAGAGAAGAAAAAGGGAAACAGACGGGCCCTGCTGATTAGTAAAAGACCAAACAAACGAAAAAACTACACATTTAATCTTATTATACTGGATTCATCTTATTTTAATCTCATGATATGACAGAATAAGTCAGTTTTGTTGGTTAGTAGGAGTTATATAGAGAGGCTTTCTATTAAATCAAACACAGTGTACCTTTACTTTAGCAATGCTGGCATTCGAATGTGGTGCTGATGTCTTAAATTAAGTCTCAAATGTTAAATTTATTTTATTTTTTTCTGTTAAGAGCCACTCTGTTGGAGAAAAGCGAGTCGAATTCCTCTGACTGTGTGCAGTGTTGGAGGGTGAGGCAGATCACACAAGACAGCATTTTTAATTTTACTGTTTGGTGGTGTTGGGAGGGGTGGGAGTGGTGGGATTTGTCATTGAGGCCAGGCTAAATGCCAAATGTGATAAAATAACCAGTGACCAGCAAAGGCAATAATTACCCTGCTATATTTTATTTATTTAACTGGAGAAACATTCTGTACCTGAGACAGGAGGAGTTCTCACGGCTTCTCGCAGCAAGGACGTGTAGACGAGTTGATGGTACCAAGCCAGAGTGACTAATCAGTTTGTTTCACAGTGTGCCAAAGCTGGAGATGCTTCTGTCCATTAAAGTTGAGTTTGAGAGAGAGCAAAGTTTTTCTGCCATGAATTTCCAGTGGTTAAAGTTGGTTACCCACGCACTCTGAGGCAAAATGCTCAGCTAAAGAATTTTAGAGTATGTGTGATAGTGAGAGTAGATAAAGCATTATTCTTCTCTTCTCTGTAGTTTGAGAGCTGGGGGGAAAGAAACTGTAGACATCAAAGCCTCTTTATAAAAAGTTGAAGTTTGGCACCACAATAAAAGTATACGTGTTTGAAAGAGAGTAGTAAAAGACTAGTGCAGATGGCCTGAAATTGAATTTTTTCTCTATGAAAGGTAGGAGCTCGAGGGACTCGGCAGTAATTTAAATGGCACTGTCTGGTCCTGGACCATTTTAATTCATTTCGTCATACCCCCGAGCCCCCCCTCTATAGACGAGCTGTCTTTGTGTGTGGCTTTCTGCCCTAAATAAACACTGCATTAGGACAGTTTTCTTTGCTGCCCTCCTCTCGCCGTCCCTGCCCACAGCAGCACTTCCCTCCTCGCCCATTATTAGCCTGCTGAGTCCAGGGGAAGCTACCCAAAGGACAAACTGTCCCCAAATGGCGAGCAGAAATGGCAGGCTGGTCTCCACAGACTGCGGTACAGCTCTCATCTCCCCCTGCTCCACCAAGCTTTGAGAACAGCGACGCAAACAGAGACAAGACCAGGGAATTTTTTTGTGAGGGGATGGCGAGTTGACAGTAATGTCACTTCCTGTTTGGTCTAAACCAACTCCCTCTCTCTCCTCTGTTTCCTCTACATCTCATGTTAAAAAGAAGCACAAACGTGCAGGATTACCTGCGCTGTTGGCGAATTTTTAACAGTGTCAATAGGAATACACACTGATACTTCTTTTTTTTTTGACCCAGTGTTGAAATTGCACATTTTCATTAATGTCCCCCCTCATCGTGAGTTCAGCGGCCGTGTATATAAACACATCATCTGACTGAGTGTGTGAGTGACAGTAAACACTGTCACAGCCATCTGGCACTTCTACTTTCCTGGGTATCGGGTGTACAGCTACAGACCATCAGCAGAGCGTGCCTCCGCGAGCATTTAAAGCCTGTTACCATGGCGACAAGCATTAGCTGTATCAGCGTTGCTCGAATATGCGTCCGCGATAATCGAAGATCAGTGCTGAGGGAGACGGCGGGCAGGCTCGATAAGTCCAGGGTCTTTACGGCAGTGCCGAAATTTATCTCCAGGGCATCTTTGTGGTTAGCTTTGTTATCATTAAGGAGCAGTTTGTAAACACAAACACCTTCTGTTAAAGGTGCGATTGGCATCTCATGTTGCCTTGGACACATGGCACGCACCCTAGGTGTCCAAAATTAATTTGAAGATAGACTATGTTTCTTCTCTTTTTTGTATAGTACAGAAAGTGGCTCATTTTGCTTTTTGCGTCGTGTCCGTGGAATCCTGGTGTGTTAAAGTGTTGTAGAGATTCAAGTGTAAGGGGGAAAAAGGAAAAGTCTAGCTGTGAAGCTGACCAACTGTTTAAAGTCGGTCATCTTCACAGTTCTACACCGTTAGATGATATTTTAGGCACATTTCTGACACTATAATTGAGTTTATTTATACAACTCAATACCTACTGCCACCTCCTAATAATATTAGAGATTACAGAAGTCATGAGGAACCAGTAAGATAGATAAGATAAGATAAGATAAGATAACTCTTTATTGTCATTGCACAGTCATACATAGTACAGTAGTACAATGAAATTGGAAAAACTGTCCTACGTCGGCACTACATATAACACAACACGACACGATATGACACATCACAACGTAACAAACAACACAACACAGTATATTAACTTAGTATAAAAAAGAAGAATAAGTCTTCAGTTAGGGGAAGTATATGCTTTTTCCTTTTGCTGGACATCTAGACAGCCGGCAATTACCTATTCTGAACGAGAGGAATAAGATGCTTTCATCCACATCGAACAGAGGCCGCTGAATATAGAGTTAGTGGGTGAAATGTTTGCATTGCTTGCGAGTTAAATGGCAGAGTTGATTCATCTGTCAGCCTTATCAAAACTTAACACGTTGCTGCGGCACACGAAGCTGAGTCAGAGCATGTCTGGACCAAATGCACATTTGGAGTAGGAGTAGCCGGGTACTCTGCCCCCAAGGCCTAATTATATTTTTCCACTGCGTATCATTCATGAAACTGTCCTAGCTCTCCTATCCAGATCAAATAGAATGCATTCATTCATTTCCCCCCCTCTTATTGCTGTGGTCCGGTGTGGCAGTCGCTTTTCCTATAATTCAGTCTCTTTGCTCTCTGTCTGTTTTTTGTAATACCTCCTTTCAGTTAAACTTGCTGTTCTTTGTGTGCGTGTCTGTGTTGGTGTGCAAGAAAATCTCATCTCAGCAGAAATCTCAGGTTTTCAGCTGAATAACGCCGAGGACGGCTCAGTATAGGCCACGCTGTTTTCTGCACTGAAATGCTTCCACAGCTTGGCTCACGGACTCTCCGTAAAAATGTGTCTTGCCAAGGGATTATGACGTGCGCTGATCTGTTTAAAGCATTAACACGTCAACAATATAGAACAAAGTCACAGCTGATTCTCTGTGTTTGACACAATTTGGTTTGCATCGTTATGCGTGTTTTGTCACGTCCAAATCCCCCACCACCAAAAAAAAAGGATTTTAAATGAGGGTGGCAGTCATATTGAAATGCTTAAATCAACAACAAACCAGGATGTCTAAAGTGCTTCAGTATATTGTTCTTTCAGCGTATGCACGGCAAAATGTCAGCTTTTGCTTTTTTTTCTGTAGCTGTTTGTCCTTCAGCGGGAACACCTGGAGGCTCAGCCAGCCCATATTAACACCGAATTGAAGGATCAATGGATATGAATAGGATTGCCAATGCAATCTACTGCTTGTTCGGGAAGCATTAAAATTGACTGGACACAATCGATGCAAGTGGAATCTTTTTTTTGTGACATAAATGAATGAAAAAGCAGCAAAGCTCACTCTCAACTCTCGTTCTGTCTTCAGGCTGTTGTTTACTCTGCTTTTCCTTGATAGTGTTTTCTCTTCTATGGTCTTACATATGTGACTTTAATGTATACTGTGTATCGGATGTCACGCTAGTATTGTCATAAGTAGGTGTAGAGAGTAGCAGCAGTTAGAGGCGGGGGTCCAACGATGTGACAGGTAACCTATGATACAATATTTTAGCACTTTTAAACATTTTGTGACATGCTGAGTATTGCAGTTGCATAAATTGCGATTTATCTTTTTTCAGTGTGTCACAAGTTGATGCACTCCTTTCTGCTGTACTCAAACTTTCCCCAGCTTTATGTTTAACTTCTCTGTAGCCTGGGTATGGCGGTGTCTATGAAAATATATCATGATGCTGTCACATGGACTCCAAACCCTTGTTTTCTACAACAACTATGTGGATTCAGGTCTTTGTAAATAAACTGGGTGATGGATCGTGTCATTTTCTTAGCTCCCGTTGAATCGAGAGGTAGCTTTGTCAAGATAAATGCGCCCACTGTCGGCTGCTTTTTCAGTTGAGCTTTTTTAATATTTGCTGTTTTCAGAATGGCGGCACGTGAGATGAGCCTTCATGTTCGTAGTAGTCCCAGAATATTTTACTTTCATATAGCACTCCCTGGGCCAGCACAGTGGTGTGGTGGTTACCTCACCGTGAATTGGGCCTGGGTTGAATTCATCATCTGAAAAGGGCCTTTCTGTGTGGCGTTTGCATGTTCTCCCCATGTCTGCGTGGGTTCTCTCCGGCTTCCTCCCACCAAACTCCAAACACAGTTAGTGCGGTTAGTGGGATTAGCTTAACTGGTGATTCTAAATTGCCCATCGGTGTGAATGTGAGTGTGAAAGGGTGTCTGCGCGGCAGCTAAGATGACCCTGAAGAAGAGGGATGGATGACTATCCTTGCAAATCCCATGTGCTTTATCCATCTGCTTTGTCCCATACTTCCGCAAAATAAATCCAAGACACGTTTGATATAAATGCACATTGTGCTTTTTGGATTCTTTCCACAATATCTTAATCTTAATTGCAACAATTTCCACTCTCACACTAAATATCAAATATGTTGATGTCATTTAAAACAAAAAAACAACAACAGCATCGTGTGGCGAACTGAAAAAGAAGTGATTTTATTATTCCAGCACTAAAAAGTTCCATTTGTTTTTTATTTCATATAGTAAGATATAGATATTTGCTCTCACTGTATTGATATTATATGATCTACAAAATATGGCAATACTGTGCTGTAGCATCAAAGCTAAAAGGCTGTAGAGCTTCCCTGTTTCCTTGCACGATCTGATATCGTCGTGTTGGTGTTGTTCCCAGATCATCATACTAAATGTTGTTCCAGGATCAACATTGCAAGTGACCAATCAGAATGTTGTGACGTCATACTTTTGCGACTTCAGGAAAAACCGCCGTAAAACAAAAAACTGTACTTAAGCTGCGAGAAACCGCCTCTGTCCGCCGATCAACTAACCGTAACCCTTTAATAAACGCTGAGCAGAATTGATATTGTCCTTGCAACATTGGAATTTCATAAATGCACGAATGGCTTGGCGCGCAAAAGAATAACGTCACAAGAATGTTATTGGTCACTTGCAATGTTGAACCTGGAACAACATTTTCATGATGATGTGGGAACAACACCGACACGACGATATCAGATCATCCTGTTTCCTTGGCTCGAAGTGAAGAAATTAATTTTTAAAAAAAGGGAATAAACAAATACAAAAATTTGTTTCGGTGTTGGCTATTGTTATTTCTGCCATTTCTGTATAAGATATAAATAGAAAACCATGTGATCGTGAAAGAAAATGTGTCTCTCTGTGTTTTGGTGTGCATGTAACACAAACGTCACGCAGGCTGTGCATTAGTGTGCATTAATGTTAGTTTTCCAAGTTTACCTCTTGGGTCATTTTTATGAAGCATCCTTCATAAGTAAAACATAAAGGAGCAGACTCTCCATCACAGGCCATTAGGATGCACTGTATTTACAGTAAATGCATCATGCATGAGCCATTTAGCTTCTTAGCTCCAGACAAGAAGAACCCTTGGCCTACATGCTGCTGCTGCTGCTGCTGCTGCTGCTATAAATTGCACATCTCAGGGAAGTCTCAAGTTGGCACTGCAAATTGCATTCACGGCACGCCACGCGACTGTTGATTGAATGTAATTAAGTTTTCCTTCTCTCCAATGAAGGTTTTTTTTTTTTTACTCCCAGCTTGAAGCACTTGGTAGGAAAGATCATTGTGTGTGTGTGTGTGTGCGTGTGTGTGTGTAGTATTTGAATACATGTTTGCTTCCAAAACGCTCGCAGCAGTGAAAAACAACATTCTCTGAGTTTCTTGTTCTGTTCATTGCTTTGTATCCGAGATGCTAACATAGAAAACTATTATGACATTCTTATTGTTCTGCTGTAGCAGCTGAAGTGGCAGCTTCTTTTAGCGATGCTTTCTAGAGCGTACAAGAGAAACTCAAGCAGTCTTCTTGGATGAATAATGCATGGGTTATTGCTAACAACATACTGGGCTTGAGTGCTGTGCTCTGGTCTAATCTTTGTGACTTGTGGATTTTAAACAGTTTCCTTTCTGCCTCTTTTGCCTAGGAGAATGAGCTTCAAGACTTCCTCCACGAGAATAAGCACTTGAATCTACAGTTGTTCAGCAACAGCCACAAGGCATCTGACTATGAGGAGGTAAGAGGTGAAAGCTACGTGTAGAAAGTTTGCTGTACATAAGTACACACTAATAGCTGCTAACTTGTCACTGCCTCTCCATCTTGACACAATCTGAAGAGTTTCTGGGTCAAACCATAACACAAACAGATTATGTCCTTTTATACTGGATCAATGGAGCCCATTATCAATGAAATCTACAAGACTTAAAATCCTACACACACACACACTATCCCTTCAGTTTTAGTCCCAAGACTTCAAAGGCATTTGGAGCTGATAACAAAAAGTCCAAGTAGACCAACAAGCAGCCCCAGGCCTCTCTATGAATGGGAAAGCAATTTTGTGAAGCAGCTGACTGGCAGGTATTTACTGTTGGTGCTGAAGAAGGGTGGGATGCTTGTTACTGGTATCTTATCAGGACATGGGTGGCTCTTGCAGCAGTGATCTCAGCTGTTATCAGACTGACAGATATGAGAGTAGCTCTCTGCAGGGTAGTGCAGATACTAGCCCTGGCTTGCAACCCTGTGTTCTGATGCCTGTTATCTTTGAATGAACTAGGAGGGGCTACTGAGAGAGCCTCCCTCTACCCTTAATAGACTATTGACCTGCTTCTGCTGGATCCAGTGTAGTTGTTCAGTTTGTCTGCATTAGGCGTGGCACCCCCCTCCAGATAGTTTGTAATGTGTGGATGTGGGCCGTTCAGAGGAGACAGACTCGCTGGGTTCTGTGTGTGTTTTGCTTTGCTGATGTCGCTCGAAACGCCCTCCTCGAGGAATCATTAGTCATTCACGGTCGCCCTGAGGAAGGGACTTTACCACATTACGGCCGCAGGAGCCAGTCATCTCACTTCCACTTAGGGGCCTTTATAAAAAGCTGCCTCGTAAGTACCAATACAAATGATCTGTGGAAGACAAATTATAAAGAATATGTAGTGTTGGAAATAGTCACAACGCTTGGTTCAGTCAGATGCTTGGTGCTTGGCTAACAAGGAAACATGAATAATGTATTAATATTTTGGTTCATAGCAATGGGAGTGAGTCAATTATATTACTCTTGTGTTAATTACAATTATATAGTTTTAGCAGAGAAACCAGGCAGTTCTCTTACCCGACCACTTTCTCCCTGTTGCGTGCTATTCAACCGCATCACATTTTATAGTACAGCAAAACCTGTTCAGCGTCATTCATTCCAAAGCAGCAACTCTAACCTTCATGTAGCACGTTATATTCAGCTTGCATAAATATTGTATCAGTCACTGACTGACTAATATGTATTTATACAAATGATATTGGGAAACCGCTGTCTTAATGAACTAGATTACCGAACAGTTTCTGTAATTTTGTGCACTTTCAAAAAAAAGAAAAAAAATTGGACTAATGCTGCAGACTCTTGGAAACGGCTGTGACAGACTATTTAAGCTCTTCTGCTCTGGAGGCCCCAGCACCAGCACCATGTCTGTTATATAAAGGAATCAGAGTCATTTTTAGTGCTAAGCACAGCTGCTGAAGAGGCCACTTTGTACCGTTATCATTAAAATACATGTAGCATTGTGTTGCATCAGTTGTGAAAGAGTTGCAGTGTCGCTGACTCATTGTTAGATATTTTCTCTCATAGGCTCGTGATTCATGTAGCCTCTGCATCTGAAAAGTGAAGCCACTGGACAAGTGCCTTAAATCTGGTCTGCTAAAAGTCCAGGCTTAAGGCCACTGTATAAAGGTGCATGGGAAGTTACCCTCCTCCCTATCTCATGTACAAACTCAATTCAAATTTTCAGTTGCTAGTTTCAACTTTAAAACAGCCATCATGCTCCATTGTTTGCATCATTAAACTTTAGGGTTGCAGGAGGACAGGGGCAGGTGAGGGAACCTGAAAGGGTATTTACCCATATCACATAAGAATGACATGAATCAATTTTTGTGTTCCAAAAATGCTACAAATTAGTGACGATTGAATACTGTAATGCAACTCATCAAAACTCTGGACCTTGCTTTTCCCTTGTGCACAGGTGAAGTCTGAGTATGCCCAGCTCAAAGAGACCCTTGGTGCTGTGACACAGGAGAGAGATTTAGCCCTGTGGGAGAGGAACCAGCTCCAAGCCAAACTGGAGAACCTAGAGCAGGTGCTCAAGGTGAGGAAGCTGGCTCCTAGAACAGACGCTGTCTGTCAGTACTGTGTGCATTTCCATTTCTAGTAATTCATCTGTCCTGGGATTCCTTTTCATTTATGGAGCCTAACCCTTTTGCCAGTACCCCTTTCTCCTATCTGTGCTACACTGCCTCCATCTGGTTATTTTCCGCTATACTGTCTAATGGCCTCGACATGTCTGTTGCCTTCCAGTGTCGTGTTGGGAGGTCTGACCAGGAGCTGTGAAAGAGTAGAAGCTCGGAACAGTCTGCGCTCTTCCCTTTCCAATTTCACCTTTTCACATTGTCCTACCCGACTTGATCTGTCCCTTCCTTCTTTCCCCTTGCCCCCTCTGCCCCTGCTAGATTTATAAGGTATCACTGCTATGTCCATCTGTTGGGGAGAAGCCCATTCTGAATGCTTTCTGTCAACCTCAGTGGCTGTGCTTATCCCTCCCTTTATCCGCGGGCTGCCAGACATACGAATGGTCACGTGGCTATACGACCACAGCACTGCTTAATGTGATTTATGCATGAGGCGGGACAAAGAGTTTGGCTTTACGATGACGGGAGGGGGAGGAAGACTAGATGATAATGTCACCTACACGTCCGATGACATTACCTATCTTAGATTTTTACTGGCATGTAAATGTCATTTGCTTCTTTCACCTTACAGCGCTGCAAATATTCACATGTAGTGGGAGCAGTGATGTGACACGGGCATACTGTGTTAGGAAGAGCCGAGCATTCAGTCCCCCCCCCCCCGTACTGTATGGCTTCTTTTGTTGTTATGGATGACCACAGACAAGTGAGCACGTCAGAGAGTTTGCTCACCCTTTTCACGTAACACGAAACCTCGCATTGATCACGCAAAGACGAGATCAGAGGACGGCTTTTCAAAGTAACCGAGACGAAACAGGTCTCGTGTTACCTAAAGGGGGCAGCAAACCTCACTGCCGATGGAAGTTTCTCGTTCACACACCAAAGCATCCCTAGTCCTCATCCATGAGCACCTTTGCGCAAGATGAGATCTGATCTTTCCCACGGATCGTTCGACATAAACATGTCTTCACGTGGCATTTGCTGTGGCATAGTTTATGTCTTTCTTGATTTTTTTAAGGGTTTAAAGGTCAGTACACTGTTAACCAGCCTCTGTATGCGTAATGTGTGCACATGTAACACTTCTAAATGTGGAGTCAAAGACTGTAGATGCATTTTGTGTTGGCTCCGTGCCTTTGGGTATTAGTACCACTAACAGCAGCCCTCTCTATGCCCCCCACCCCATCCCCCTTCCTTCCACAATTTTCCCCTCCGGCTCTCCATCCCTACACCCCTTGTGGACAGCATATGCGAGAGGCTGCGGAGCGGAGGCAGCAGCTAGAGTTGGAGCATGAGCAGGCCTTGGCTGTACTCAATGCAAAGCAGCAGGAGATTGACATTCTCCAGAAGGTAAGAGAACTCCAAGCACCAGTGGGGATGGGCTTTTGTGTTTGCCCGGCTTTTGGCCTGTGTCATGGGTGAAAGAGCTTTTTGTTGAACACCCATGCGAAACATAGAGCACAACAAAGGTGAAAGTCAACAGAAAGGAAACAGAAGTTAAGGAGTGCATGATTTTCTCTACGCTTTTTCTAGTTTCGCACGAGCGTCTCCGTCGCATCCCCGTCCTGCAGCTGTTTATCAATCCCAGAGCGTTTCTGGAGCACTCTTGTTTGTCACAAGCGAGCAAATCAGACTTTTAGAATCCAAAGTAGACACGACACTTTTTAGAGGCACACTTTAATAAAGGGGGAAAAAAAGGCTCGCCCTGGCCATTTGATGGTTGGCCTTCCTCCACTGCGCACTGAAGCTGACTGTAATGTGAAAGCAACGGCTGAGATTACTGATAGTGTGAACATGATAGGAATTGTCACCAATGCCTTCTCTGGCAACACTGTGAGCGCCCTCGTGTTGCTGTTGCTGCAGTGTTCTGACTTCACAGTCAGCCCTTCACAGGCAGTCGTTCTCAGCTTTTTTCTCTCATTAACAGAAGCTCATTACTGCCTTATCTTCCTGCAGACACTCACTGCTCTCTGTGTTCTAAATTAATTGCCTGCAAAGTAGATTTATGAAATGGTAAAGCCCCGCAGATGCTCTCGTATTTATGTGGAACGCTTTATTTTTTTTTTTTCTCAACAGATGTTTCTCGTTTTCATAAGAAAAATGATGCGTACGATGCAGTGTTTCCATATACTCCTTGTCTTTCAGAATGTAAACTCCCATTTTTCTGGAGCGCACTAGCATAAAAAATCAGGTCATAAATCTACACCTTTTGATGTAGCCCAAAAACAACTATTCAAACAAACACCCTGGCAAGATGTTCACTGTCTGAAACGGCCATTTACGAATCGTGTAACGAAAAGAAAAACAGCCACAGCAAGAGTAAACGTTGCAGTATTTTTTAACTACGGATACATGGGCAGGCTCAAACTTAGGTTTTTTGCCCATAGATGATGCAGGAAGTCTTCTCTTAAAAATGGCTGTGCCCCAACCACAATCAGCAGTTCCTCTTACCTTTGCAAAAATGTACAGCTGTGTACTCTGCTTTGCTCCTGTGTTGTTGACAACACATGAGCATTTATGTCACTTTCACCTCTGTAGCTGATGTTATATCTGAAGGAGGAGCCTTACTACGATTTCTGTGTTGAGGGAAACCATAATAGAAGCAATAAAATCATGTGTGCATCTCACCCCTGGGCTGGTAGTTAGAGACTCTTGTGCAGGTGCTCTTCAGCTTGCAGTTGCTTGATTATATTCAGTTTCTTGCACGCATGTAATGCTTTCATGTTGCACAGCTCTCCGAATGATAAATGACAAACATGCTTAACAAAACATAAAACCGGAGAGGCGAAAATGGTTTGAGAAAAGACGCGATATTCTTTAAGCATTCGGCAATATCTTATCGAATCAAGCCACTGCTGGCAAACGTGAGTGCGGACGGGGGTCCGCGCCATCTTTTCGACCATTTTCACCTCGCGCACCAATGAATGCCTTTGAGAGATGCTCTTTGTGAGGATCTCTCGTCGGTGTTTTAAACAGAAACTAAAGCACAGCATAAACTGCAATGTAAGTGAACTGCACCTTGTGTTTCTCAGGCTCAGGTTGAGGCTAAAAAGGAACATGAGGGCGCTGTCCATCTGTTAGAGGTGAGCGTCTGGACTCTGGGGGTCTTGGGGGCTTTGCTGTGTGTTTTTGTGTATGCTGCTCGAGCGTTTCCTGCTTTCCGTGACCTCACTTCCTGAATTTTTATTTATTTTTTGTTTCTTTTGTTTCTTTAAAGTCTTATTGTTTTAAAACTATCTTGGCCAGAGTATACTGCTTTTTTTCACAGTATCTTTTAAATGACTTTTGGTATAGAGAGTTGCTTTTGGGGTAAATGAACCATAAAGCACGCAAAAATCTATATTTAGTCTTTGTATTGGCATTGTAATACGGCGATATGTATGCGTGTGTGTTGAAAAGATTGTGATTTTAGAGATGTGTATGAGTGATCACATGTGTGTAATTGTGCTTTATTTCTTTCTTACATCTCTTGTCATTGTATGGATGTGTGTTTATGCTTATACAGAACCACTTGGACAGCATGCAGGTATTTCAGAATTGCTTTTATTTATTTACTTGATATATATAAGTATATATATTTTACGCCTTTGCCATTAGCGGGATATACAGCAGCCTGGTATGTAGTTTGACCCATGGGGCCAAGTAACACCACATTGTGAATTAAGATCAACATTTATCTGGCTAAAGAGATAACATAAAAAAATGCAGTTATGAGCTGATTTAACTTGCGGTCATGCCTTTTGGCTTTTCAGTACAATTTTTCACATCGATCTTTTCATACAGCCCTTTCAGCTCGTTTCACAAGGCAAGACTCACGAGTGGACTCTTTGAAAGGGTGAAACATGACTAATAGATAACACGGAGGTCTTTCTGGCCTGATTATAAAGAAACATTGATAAAAGAATCAGAAAACCAAGTAACAAAATACACTTTAATTCAATATAAATCACTTGTATCGACATGTATTCGCATCAGATATGTTAAAATTCTATTTACATGTGAGCAAACAAAACTCTCAGGCTAAAATAAGTATGTTTTTCCAAAGTATAATATTCTCTCTTCATTATAATATGTAGTAGCTTAAAAAGAACAAACTGCATTTCTAGTATAGGATACAGTACCAGACGGTGATGAATGTGATCCTTTTTCCTTTGTAGCATTGCATGTGTTTATGCAGCATGTGTTTTAAAAACCGTCTACTTGCCATACAACTAACTGTATGATGCTGCTCAAACTAGTGTCTCCTAATTTACTAATTCTGTTTCATAAATGCAGGAATATATTTGTCGTCAGTCTGCCAGCAGCATGTTATATCCAGCAGCAACCTGCCTGCATGAAACGCTGTTTTAACAGAAATACTGATGCGGCGGGCATCACTGTGTTTTTGGGCGGCGCTGTATAATTCCACGGTCGCTTCAGTATCTTCCAGAGCCTCTCAGACTGCGCTCGGTTTCGGACCGAGAAGTGATTGCTAATGCATTGCATCATTTTGCGTGGGAAACCATGCTGCAGCACCTGGAATTTTCTATTGAACCTGCCCAAGCGGTCATGTTCAGTTTGTCAGTGTTAGTCTGTGCGATAATGTTTCCTGCTCTCAACATGTACGGATGATGTTATGCAAAATTTTTGTTATTGTTGAAATCTTACAGAAAGACCAGTACCAACAGCAAGCAGACCTCCGTGCCTTGTGCGTGGGTCTCATCTCAAATCCAGTCATATCCAGTGGTGAAGAAATTGCAATGTTGTGTTGCACTCATCTTAAATACACAGCACAATGATAATCCCAGTAAATACAATTATGATTTCATTTATTAAGGGAAAAAAGTTATCCAAACTTAGCGGTTCCTGTGTGAAAAAAGTAATTGTGTCCTAAATCTAATAACTGGTTGTGAACTGCAATCAAGCTTTTTGTGACGACTGGCAGTGAATCTTTCGCTGTGGAGGAATTTTGACCCACTCTTCTTCTCATAATTGTTTTAATTCAGACACGTTGGAGGGTTGTGAAGCATCATCAGCATGTTTAAGGTCATGCCAAAGGAACTCAGTCTGAATCTTAACTCATTTTGCTTTTTGTTTTGTGTTTTTGAGCCATTCAGAGTTGGACTTGCCGATCTTTTTGGACCGCTGTCCGGTTGCACAATCCAAATGTTCTTGAGCTTCAGGTCATGAAGTGATGAATGGATGTTCTCCTTCAGGATTTTCTCTAAAACCAGCCACACATGATCACTCTGCCACCACCATGTTTGTGGAATGCTGTGTTGCTTTCACACCAGGAAAAAAAGAAAAAAACCTACCAAAAAGTTCAGCTTTTGTGTCATCAGTCCACAGAATATTTCCCAAAAGCGGTCATCAAAACGTCTTTCAGCAAATGTGAGACAAGCCTTTGTGTCAGTGGTGGATTTCTCGTTGGACTCTCTCATGGGTGCCATTTTTGCCCACTCTCTTTCTTATTGTTGATTCATGAACTCTGACCTTAACTGTGAGGCCTGCAGTCTTTTAGATGTCCTTCTGGGTTTTTTGTGACCACTATCAATGCACTTCTGGAGTCATTTTGATAAATTCACCACTATTCAAGCCATATCTCCTCCATTTGGAGATAATAGCACTCACTGTGGTTCACTGTCTTTGTAACCATTTCCAGACCGATAGATGTCAACTTTGTTTCTCGGCTGTTTTTTCAGATTGACGTTTTGAGCACTTTTTCAGACAAGCTGTATTTAAGGGATTTCTTGTTTCAGCAGGTCTGGCAGTAATCAGACCTAAGCTAAAATCAGCGTTCCAAATAAATGTGGTTAATCAAAGTTTATTCATGATTTAACAAGAGGGGAAATTGCTTTGTTCACGCAGGGCCAGGTAGGTTTGGATAGCTTTTTTTCCCTTGATAAATCGAAATCATCATTTAAAAACTGCATTTTGTATTCACTGGCGTCATCTTTAGTATTAGATTTAATATTGAAATTTGTTTTATGATCTGAAAAAATGTAAGTGTGACAAATATACAAAAAAGGGCTATTCTGCATTTCCAGCAGAGATTACGCAAACTGAAGTAAATAGTGCATTTTATGGTGGCTATTCTCATCTTCGGATAAATACAGACCCAGTTAGTAGTAGAGCACCAGTGCATACTCCCTGGATGGTGTGGAGTGTGTGGGATAGACTTAAAATAAACTGCACTACTCATGCTCATCACAGTTTGAGAAACACGTTGCCCTCTGCTGCAGTGTGCTTTCAACACTGTTTGCCTCAATTCGCTTAAAGCTTTCTGTTTTTGGTCTTTTTAAGGTTTTACACGGCAATAACAAAAACATATAATATCATCGACCTCATCCTTTAAGACAGTTTGGGTATGCTTTGAAATAAGTTTTATTTGGAGTACTGTTATTATGAACTGTAGGATAGTTGTGCATGCGATTTGTATAATGTACCGTCAGTAGTGGTCAAGAAGTCATTTCAAGGTTTCTTTTCTTTGTAATGACTGATCAGTGTTATTAGTCCTACAGTAAATGTCTGTTTTCTTGTTCACATATAGCGTGAACTCTTTTTGTGTCTTTATCATTATTTTTTATTTTTATTTTCTTTGTCTCCATTCCATCTTTCTCCCTTTCCCATCCTTTTTTCTCTCCTCCTCTGTCTCTCGCTTCTGTCTCAATGTGTCTCCTCCCTCCCCGCCATCAGGCCAAAGTCCGCGAGCTGGAGGAGAAATGTCGGACTCAGAGTGAGCAGTTCAACCTCCTGTCTAAAGAGCTGGAGAAGTTTCGGCTCCAGGCTGGGAAGTTTGATATCCTCAGCACTGAACCCTTAACTGTGTGTGAATCTCCTGGGTCTCCGAACAAATCCCTGTCACAGCTCCTTAATGGACTGGCTGCCCCCACAGAGAAAGGTAAAGGCCATTTGTTAGCATTAAAGCTCTGCTTTCAGCAGATAAATGTTACGCCGGTACTGTAGATAGAATAGAATAGAATTCAACTTTATTGTCATTGCACATGCACAGGTACAGGGCAACGAAATGCAGATCACCTGTATTCAAGTGTACAGTTAATTAAGATGTATCATTCCAGTCTTATAGGAACTATTAGTAGTAGTAGTTTTTATGACTTCCCTCATAAAAAGTCAAATTAACTAAACGTTTAGAAATATTAAGTCAAAGACAGCTGTGTCACCTGTAATCTGTTTAAATGGCCTCTAGTATGTGAAACTTTTTAAATCAATGCATAAGTTGCTCACTAATTACAGCACAACGTGTTGTTTAGGTTGTTGTTGCTATGTAATTTTGCACATTTACAAAATAAAGTTATGTGCTATTTTAAAACTTATATTTAAAGGACTCAAAGACAAAAGTAAAGTAACGCGTGGTGGGTGAAGAACAGGTGGGATAGCAAAGTGGCTGGGTTACTAAGGAGGGCAGCACAGGTGCTCAGCAGACAGGAAGGAGTGCCGGTGAAGGCGGGATCTATTTGTGGGGAAAGGACAGAATCCCTCTCTGTGGTGGAGGATACCACCATGAAAGGTGGGGAAACTGAGTAAGTTCAGGGAATGATGCGGGACACTCAAGGGGGCTGAATCTTGGTACTCCAGCAGACCAGTTTTCCTCAGGGTGGGAGTTAATAGATATCATCTATCCACCCACTGTAGCCACTGGGAGCCAGCAAGTAGAATGACTCAGGAACTGGTTGTAGGTCATCAGTGCTGTTTAGGCTTTTGGGCAGGTGTGGCGTAAGTCGATTCTGGAGTTGCAGGTGGAGTAAAAATATTTTTTTACTTTAGCCGAGCCGGGAGTTTAATTTATTGTCTGAGTATCAATCAAGTCTCTGTACTGGCCATTAAGACTTTAGCTGAGTTTGGCTGGAAAAGTGCAGCTGACTCTGGGACAGTCTTAGTAATTGGTTATGTGTCAGCTGACTCAGACTCAGGAATAGTTGCCTGACACAGAAACAGTCCAAACTTTAGCGAGTGACTCAAGGTGCAACACCACTCTCAGGAACAGGCTGAGAAACAGGAGCAGTTGATTCAGGACCTGGCTTGACCTCACCCAGGATAAGGACAGACACTGGCAGGCACACTATGCAACAGTGCCTGTGATGTAACAGTGAGCCGAGCAGTGGAGATGCATGATGTCAGCGCTGACTGCATTTCATTCTGGATGTCACTTTCCTTCGTCACCCCTCAAAATCAGTATCTATCGGGCCACTTTTATTCAGTTTGTCCTAAATTCAGGTTATCCACACAGAGATCACAGAACACATGGATGCTGTTAGGTTGAAGAACTAAGAATAAGTCAAATCAAACCAAAAGGAAGAAGATAGCAACAGCAGAGTTCAGGCAGAAACAAGCACACAGTCCACAGATTAATGATATAAAGTGATCCAAAAAAACTAAGAGCCAGGATGGAACAGCCGGGGAACACAGAGTACACGCAGATGATCACACAGACAACAAGGAGAAGCACAGGACTATAAATACAGACAGAGCTAATTCAGTAATTGATGAAAAAAGGTGAATGAGATTCACCAAAGAAGTGATGGACAAATAAAACCAAAGCAAACAAGTACTCTGATAGAACCACATCAATCATCCTGCTTAACAAAAATTTCATGAAATCAAATTGAATTAAATGGCAGAACCTTTTTAAAGGACAGCATGCAATCAAATACAAGATGAAAATTCTGACTTTGATATTAGTTCTGTTATATTGTGATGTGTGGAGCTACGTTGCTTTTGTTCCACAGGCAATGAGGCCCCAACAAGCAGATCTTTGATATCGGAGTTCATCCGACCACTCCAAGTCAGCGGAGACAAGCCCGAGCTCCTCTCTGTCAAGCCAACATTCCTCACTCGCGGTCGAGCCAGCAGTCCAGCGCGGGCTTTACTCTCTGAGGTATATTATAGTGTCCATTTGTACTCTATCTTTTTACACGTCCGAAATCAGATCGATTCAATACATCTCAAACAAATGGAATCTAATAAACTGTGGAAAGATGGTCTAAAAATCCCAAACGACACCGTTGAGACACAACGTGGGAGAATTCCCAATAATTTCAATCGTTTGCTCCACGTATTTACCCAAAAGCATTTCTGTTGTCACTCAGGTCAGTGGAGCTCTAATAGTTTCTGTGAAAAAGCTTTTTATTATAATTTTTTTTTAAGCTGAACTCACCAGTATTAGATCCATTCCCTCGCTCATGCCTCTGTGATCCCTTACGTAGACGGCACATTTGGGAAAATGCTGATTCATTTTAATCTAAATAATGTCTTTGGGCTGAACACGAGAAAATCCACACAGCGGGAATCCAGGAGGCTTCTCGGTGTTACTCATGCAGATTATTTGGGATTGATCAAATATATTTAGTTGACACAAGCTAAAACATTGAACCAAAGGGAACGTGCAAACATTAAGAAGCATTCGATGTTGAAACTGTGAAAATCTGTGAATGCTTCCTTCTCCAGATGGACAAAGATCTCAGCTCCACCACCAGATCCAAACCACGGTTCACAGGGAAGGTCCGTCTGTGTGTTGCTCGCTACAGGTATGCACACAAAACACACAATTACTTTTTCAACCACTGCTGTATTTGTAAAATAAATAAATGGAAAAAAAAGTTTGATCCTCATGAGTTTATCATTTCAAACCTACAGGGCTTTGTGCTTACGTTACACCCCTACCCCTAAACCAAAGTGAAATCATTGTGATCATTTAAAACAGAGGTGGTGGAAAATCTCTCGCACTGAACTGAAAATCTTGCTCTGTTATTTGCTTTCTCTCGCAGCGCTGTGGTCTTAAATGTGACTCAGTGTTTCTGCTGCTAAAGAAAATAACCTGTCAGCACAGAAAATAATTGGAATCCTCAAGCACACAGATTTGTGAAACAGGGCCAAAGCTTTCAACCCACACTCTCTTCAACCCTCTCATATTTGCAAACAGCCAAATATAATAGAACAGAAAAAAAACTTTGTATTTTCAAAGCAGCGCTCGGCAAATCGTTTTCCTCGACATACATATTATGTTTGTGGTGTTTGATATAAAACAAACCCAAATGGAGAATAATTGCAACAAAAAAGTGTGCACTTTGGAAGCTAATTAATTTGTTTTCTTTTTACTGTAGTTACAATCCTTATGATGGACCCAATGAGCATCCTGAGGCAGAGCTCCCCCTGGTGGCTGGGAAGTACCTTTACATTTACGGAACAATGGACGAGGATGGCTTTTATGAAGGTCAGGCCTTTTTTTTAAAAAGGTGTTTTGTTTTGTTTTATCACATCTTGCACTTTACCACGTGACCAAAGTACCAGCATCCTTATTGTGTCCTCAGGAGAGCTGCTGGATGGACAGAGAGGACTCGTCCCATCCAATTTTGTAGATTTTATCCAAGATGAGGAGGCGCCCTCTGTCCAGCACAGGGACATATTAACTAAAGAACCTGGCTACCTCAACCACAGTAGCCTGAGGCCTCAAAGACCTGGGGTCGGCACAGGAACAGGCATAAGCAGCCTGCTGTCTGACAGTAAATTAGACTGTCTAAGCACCAGCAGCTTGGGCATGGACCTCCTGGGCTCCTCCACCAATGGCACGGGAACCTTGGATGTCAGCATTGACGAGGTCGGTGAAGACATTGTGCCTTATCCCCGCCGCATCAACCTGATTAAGCAACTGGCCAAAAGTGTGATTATTGGCTGGGATCCTCCGGTGTTCCCACCGGGCTGGGGCTCCATTAGTGGCTACAATGTCTTGGTGGATAAGGAGGTTCGTATGAGTGTCCCCTACGGGGGCAGGACAAAGTCTCTTATTGAAAAGCTCAATCTGGCCACACACACCTACCGCATCTCAGTGCAGAGCATCACTGACAGGGGCCCGTCAGACGAACTTCGGTGCACTCTTCTCGTGGGTAAGGACGTGGTGGTGGCACCTTACTACCTGCGGGTGGACAGCATCACGCAGGTCTCTGCTGAGCTGTCTTGGATGCCCAGCAACAGCAACTACAGTCACACCATCTTCCTCAACGGTGCAGAGTATGACATGGTCAAGGCAGGGGGCTATAAGTACAAGTTTTTCAACTTGAAGCCGATGACAGTTTACAAGGTGAAGGTTGTCGCACAGCCACATCAGGTGCCTTGGCAGCTTCCAGTGGATCAAAGGGAAAAGAGGGAAATCTCTGTGGAGTTCTGCACTCAGCCTGCAGGTCAGTCCTTAAAACGTAAGTCACCCCAGTGCAGAAATAATTGGTTTTGTGAATCACAGCAGTGGAGGAATTTTCCTTTGCATGGTGCATGGTTGCATGGCCGTGGCTAGAAATGCTCGGATATTTGTAGCCATGGTAGCATGACTAGAGATATCAATGTTAGTCTCTTGGTTGGTTGGTTGGTTGATCAGTCCATCTTACTGAAGTAAAGCCTCACAAAATCCTTGGTGGTGTGGCTTAAGACACATAATACTACTACTACTACTGCTGAAGGTTTGTGTTGTGCTTAAAATACATTTTGCCTTGGCTTGTCTATCTTTTTTTTCTTTTTCCCACTTGGGGGCAGTATAAAGTTGTTGAGGTGAATGTTGAATGTTTACACATCCAACAGACTCAGCAAAGTCTGAGAAAAATATGTAACAACATGCTTCCCTTCCTATATCTCACTTAGTCCTTAACCTTATCTGCTGTTTGGTGCCGATACAAACTGCAAACAGCTGCCTGCTGCATGCGAAAATAAGGTTAATCAGACACTCGGTGTGAAGCAAAGTCTTGTTGTTTGCAAATGCACCAAGGCAGGTACAAAATGCTTTGGATAAAAGGCTAACACGGCCTTCTTTTTATCCCAGTCTGAACGGTGCTCTTATAGACTTTGTTCTGCATAAAAAGCTTTGATTTCACAATAAATAAAAGCCTGAAAAATTTCCATCTGAGGTACCAGTCATCGTGTTTAATCGGGCACACGCATCAAGGTCATTACACTTACAAACATTTTAGTCATTTAGATTCTTCCCCAGCTACCTTTATATTGCCCTCGAGGATCTGTGTGTGTGCTTTTGTGATAAGACGTAAAGGGTAGAAACACGAACAAACAAGAAAAAAGACGTTCCGATAAAGCTGTAACGTGAAAACCCGCTTAAGAAGTATTCTGAAAACAAGGGTGTAAATATTAGGCATGCATCTCTGGGATTTCTTCTCCCAGGAGGCTCTTTGTTGCTTGACTGTTGCCAGTGTTAACTTGGGTCTCACGGCCCTGCTGTCAAGCGAGAAAAGCCATGGACAGGTAAAACTAGTCAGCCCGTTGTTGCGTATAGATTGAATATGGTTCATATTATTGCTTTTTATATGCACTCGGAGGGATGTTTAATGTGTGACACCTTCCATTTACCATGGAAGGAGACACTTCCAATTATTATGGCAGTCACTGAGAAAAGTGGAGCCAAACGGGAGATGACAGAGAGTTATGACGTCAAGAAGTGAAAAAAGAGAGAGAGAAAGGGGGGAAAGACGGAGATCGAGGCTGAAGTTTGAATTGACATTTTGTGTTGGCAGCTGACGAGCCCGCATGCTGAGAGTTCATTAAACGATCCATCTATTGAATATGTTAATTAGAGGCGTCTAAAATTGTCTGAATAGTGGAGGCAGACAGCCGCTGTCAGTGACGACGGCAGTATCTGGAAGTGCTATATTAGGCTTCTGCACTCAGCGTGTGTTCTTCAAACAAGTTGCTTCATTAGTGCTTAGTGATGCATTTTTAATATTAGTCGCACAGAGCGGCTACCAGTTCGCTCCCTGGAAATCAGCGTCTGCCGTTTGTGTCCACTACTAATGAAAGTGGCTCCACTGAGATATTCATTTAAACACTCGTTTCGGCTCTCGGAGGAGAGCGCGTTGTTTGTGACGGGGGCCGTTTAAAAATGACAAGAGGAAATGAAATCTCCAAACAGCTACTGCTGCTATTCAGAGACTGCGTTTTTTCCCAACAGTCAGTCTTAGAAATGTGATTAAGATTGCTCTGATGTAGATTCCCGGACGCTCGCGCAGCTGCACGTCACGGCTCGGAGATTCTGCTGACTGACTGTGACTCCCTCTTGCTCGCTGTGTGGCTGCAGGTGAACGGCGGCGCTGCACAGATGGGCATGTTGTTTAGTATGCATGCAGGATGGACAGATTGAGAAAATAGCAAACTGGGTTTTTTTTGATGCTCGGAAGAATATTGTCAGCAAGAGCATGATATTGCTATACATATAGCCAATGTTGGCAGACTTGGATTTTTCAACCAGTGCCCCGACATAAACCTGTTTATAGATAGAAAGAAAAATCATCCTACTGGTAAATACTGCTATTCAGCTGTTCCCGACTGATGTTATCATATGATATACCAGCTATTCATCTTAGTGAAATAGGTTTTAAATTCGAGACGTGTACTACAAATCCTCCAGATTGAGAACATGCTTATTCCATCCCACAGTGAAGTGGATATTGAACGCCAGCGGTCCACAGTACAAAGGTCAGCTCATTCTTTTTTGATAAAACAGGCAGGGATGGCAGGAACAGGCAGTCTGTCTTTATTTCCTCTCTCCTTGTCTGATAAATGTGCACTATCCTCCGCAGGCCCCCCTCTCCCTCCCCAGGAGGTGCAGGTCCAGTGTGGTCAAACACCCGGGTTCCTGCAGGTGAGATGGAAGCCGCCGCCCCTGACGCCTTCAGGAACCTCCAACGGAGCCAGTGTGATAGGCTACGCCGTGTGCACAAAGGGACAAAAGGTAACAAACAAAAAATTATTATTATTATTTTTTTTAGTCTTACACTGCAGATCTTTAAATGGGTAGCCTCTGCCTTCCTGAGTTGTAACTTCTCAGTAGCACTCTATTGCCATCTCCTGGAGAAAGTCTTTAATGTTCATATGCAGCCCCGAGGCATGAGAAATAAACAGGTTTGCCCTGGGTCCCTTTTTCTACAGGCTATTTTTGTTATGCACACGTATGTATCCAGTAACTACATTTTTATCTTATTTTGAACTAAATGCCAGATATATGCTTTATTTATTAAGTATTTGGACGTTCCCTGAGAGGTGTGAAGTGAGTGTGAAGTATAAAAATGGTGCTGTGGCTGTAAGGCTTCAAATCTGCCTGTAGTGAGTTTTTAAATTATGGTAACTGTCTCGTAGAACTTTTACGACAGCCAAGATGTAAAAGCTACAAATGCATATTGATATATGTATGTTTGTATGAGGACATTCTGAATTGCCCTTTGGTAAAGACTCTGGTTTCTTTGTAAATGCAGATAGCAGAGGTCTTGTACCCCACAGCAGACTATGTGACTGTGGACTTAACCAGGATTCAGGGTCTGGAGGCGAGGGAAGTCATTGTAAGGACGTTATCAACACAAGGAGAGTCCCAGGACTCGCCTGTGGCCATCATACCGCACAATCTCTTGGGCTCTCCACGCCTTTCCCACAGAACCACTGCACCTTCCCATCCCACACCCCACCCAGTTCACTCACAAACCCACCCTCCTTATCCATCGACGTACCCCCCGAACCACCCTCAGCCCCAGGTGCAGCCTCTGCCTCGACCCCAGCCCCACACGCTGCCCCACGCACAGCCTCACTCGCAGCCCATCCGCCCCCCTCCTCCCTATCCACAGCCTCATTTTCACCGCAACTCCATGCCCAAATCCAAACCATTAGTAAGTGCCAGAGAGCCAGAAACCAAAGAGCATGAGGTGGGCCTGCGGCCAGCCCAGCCCTGGGAACGCTCCCCGTCTCCGCTGCCTCCCATGCGAGGTCCCAACCTGGAGCCACCGCCCTTCCAGCCACAGCGATCTCCCTCTCCACAGAGGATCCTGCCGCAGCCTCAGGGAGTCCCCATCCCCAACACCATCGCCAAGGCCATGGCCAGGGAAGCTGCCCAGAGAGTGTTTGCTGAGGGTAACCGGGTGTGTGAGGATTTCACTCTTAAACCTTTTCACAGCTTGTGATGAGAGAGCTCTCAGCCAAAAAGCTAATGGTAATATCTTTTAGGCTGCTTTGTAAACAAGCAGTGCTTTGGAGGAAATCATTAGATTTGTGAAAATATAGTAAGATAGTAAGCGACTTGTTTGTCTTTCTCATCCTCTCGGTTATTCTTCTCTCCTTTTTCCATCTAAAAGTTTGACTTTTCCCCTGTCAGGTCGAGAAAAGGAATATCTTCAGTGAGCGAGGTAATGCTTTGCATCCTGTCAACTCTGATGAGGAGGAGGATGGCTACGACTCGCCTCATGCCAGGAGGAGAGGCGCCTCAGTGGATGAATTCCTCAGAGGCTCCGAGTTAGGCAGACAGGTACTTTACAGAAAACACAAGCTGTGCTCAGCGTGTCAGGAGAATCGGTTTGCTGGATCAAATCAAATCAGTCTGAAATCAAACCGAGTCCCATCTTAATGTGTGTATTATAATCTGTACTGTAGGCTTATAATTTGGACACTTTATAAGATACATCTTGCATTCAGAACTTCCTTAACTCTTAAAGGGACAGATTCAGCAGGTTTCAGGTTGACAGCATCACACAGTTGCTGAAAATAAAGGACCTGAATTCAGAGCTTTTATTACTTACCAAACAATCGCTCTTCAGCTTGCTTTCTGTCATTCATTTCCCTTAGCACCATCATCACCACTACAGCCACAGTGAGGAGTACTACACAGAGAGCAGCCGAGGATCTGACCTGTCTGACATCCTGGAGGAGGACGAGGAGGATCTTTACTCTGAGATGCAGCTGGAGGAAGGCCGCAGACGCAGCATCAACTCTCACAACACTCTCAAGGTACATATTTACCTGCACGCCTTCACTCTACAGTGGCCTGGAGGGAGGACACAGGAAGGTGGGGAGAAATAAAGATATAGGGAAGAAGGGCTCTGCCACCTCTGGAGATACCTGCTATCTTTCACAAGCTCTACAACCAGGCCCGTCGTGGCTTTGCCTGGCTAATCTCCCGTGCCTGTTAGCTGCGTTAGCCGAATCAGCCTCCCTACTCTCCCCACCCTACCTGCTCCTCCACCCCTGCCCCTCCAGCTCTGCTTTATTCTTCCCAGGCTGATCATATGGCTGTGTATACATAAGCTGTACAAGATGCATGTGAGAAGCGAAGGGTGTAAACAAATCCCCCCCCAAAAAAAAATACAGTGTTTTCTTTTACCATTTGCATTGCATTTGGATGCTCGATTTACTGTACCAGACTAGTTTTACAAGTGTTGAAAGTCAAAATGTTAAGACTGTGAACTTGAAATGCAACTATTAATATACTGTACTGTATCAAAGGGTCATGGCATATCAAGTGCACATGGGAATCTCATTTAAGTGAGTACTTAAATGGAAATATCCACTTTTGTTTATGTCTGTCACGTCCTAATGTTTAATTTGAATGTTATTGTTAACATTGTCGGCACATGATCCCGTCTTCATTTGGTCTGTCAGCGGGGATGTGTGGAAGACAACTTGATATCATGAAAGAAAAGCATTATTATAAGAGCGAAAGCTACCTGTACTGTATTGGCTGATCTTTTCTTTGTATTATAGCAGAAAATCACTACAGGTTCGGTTAGCATACCACTGATTTTGTCCAGTAAAACCTGTAGATCAATGAGGTGTTAATGAGGGGTATATACTGGTGTATAAACTCTGTCTGTGCGCCAGTTCTTCATCTCCTTTTTGTGATCACATCTATGTGTAAATCTCTGCTGCACATTTTTTATTCTCTTTAAACGTTTAGATGTTGTAAAGCGATGTGAATACGCAGGAGTGCGTCCACTCAGCTTGGCATTGTTCTTTTGTTTTCTTCTCATTTTTTGCTTTTTAAAAACTTCATCTGCTCATTTCATCCTTATAAATGTTCCCACCGCCCTCACCTGTAACACTCACAGCGTCCAGTACTTTCATTCGTTTAAATGTTTTCCATGTGTAAACTCTGTGTCCACTTTTTACGATTTACCGCTCCATCTTAAAGCTGTGACAGATTCCTGTTCAGAGCATGCCATTTCCTCCTCACGGAATGAGACTGCATGTCTTACCACATAGCCACAAATAACTAATTCTGTCTTTATTTTGTCTTTCCCCCCCATTTGTTCTATTCACACACTGTGTTGTTTCCTGCCTGTTCTAAAACCTTCGAAAAACTTTACAAACCCCCCCCCCCCCCCCTCGCAAAAATATAAACTGAACCGTTTACTTGAACTGAACTGTGAAATTGTGGGATGTTGAACCCCCCTCCTACCCCCAACCTCGGTCGCGACTGAAGGCATATTACAAGCGTCAGGACTTAGCTGAGGAAAGAGACTGCTGGGACCTCCAGAGGGAGGTGGTGAAGCAGAAGTCGCTCCGCAGCAAGCGTCTCCACAGCATCCCCGAGGTGGCCGAGGAAGAGTCGGACAGCGTGGACAGCATGGGTCAGCGTCTGTCCTTCGAAGACGGGGGGCGACCGGGGACGCCGCACACTCAGCGGAGGATGTACCCCCAAGACGCTCACGTGCGCAACCATCTCACCCCCAGCAAGAGCACCCGCTTGCAACGCCAACGCTCTTCCCCTCGCTTCACCGACAGCCGGTACTGCTACAGCGCCGACGACCGCAGCTTGGGACGACCCAACCGCCAGAACACCAAGAGCCCTGACAGCGGTTTAGACTGCGGCAGTGAAGAAGAAGGCTCTCTAGGGCGGGGCCATCGAGGGTACTACGCTCACGGGAGCCCCATGCGAGGACCTGTGCGCATCATTCACTGTGAAGGCCCCGTAGAGAGGCGGGCGCTGGCCATGGGCCGGAAAAGGACTCTCACACGGCAGTGCAGCGTGGAGGAGGAGTTCTCCGATGTCCCAGTGATCGCGGCCAAGTCGGTACACACGGGTGATTTTAGGAACAGGGAGCACTTTGGGCCCGGTCGGGATGCTGGGCCGCGAAACTACTCCAGGGAAGGGGCCCTGAGCGAGGGCAGGCTGAACGAGCTGGACAGGGTCTATTACAGCCCCCACAGGGAGGCTAGGGCCCAGTCTTTGTCCAGGCTCAACCGGGACCAGGCGCTGGTGTGTGATTCAGACTTTCTGATGTACTTTCCATCAGCAAGCTGCAGCCATTCTGTTTTCTTAATGTTGTGTGTTTGTTTTTTTGTTTTTGTTTTCTTTTTAAGAGACCCCCCCTTTTATTTCGTTTGACTTTCTGTTTTCCTCCATTCTTGACAGTTTATCACATGGTCATGGTTGGTCTCATTTGATGTTTTATTTTGTGTGAATTACTTTGCTTGTATTTCTAGTGTTCGGTGGATTTTATAAAGTAGAACTTTCAAATTACCTAAAGGCCATTTAACAAAGTTTTGACTTCTCATGTCTTTGAGGGGAAAGGCTCCATGTAAAGGAAAGTCTCTGTGCAGTGCATGGGGACATGCTGCTCCTCTGCTCTCCCCCGCCTGTGCCTTCTTCTCTCTGCCAGCTGCAGACTTCATACGTTGCTCTCCATGTCTCACCCTCTAGAGCTCCAGCCATCTTCTGCTTTCCATCACTTCACATACAAAAAAGGAGGCCAATTCAAGACTTTTAGCCTGTTGGGATTCATTTAAGCCTTCATCTCTGTCTTAAAATTCTTCTTCATCACGACTTTTCACGTCGTTTCAGCTGATGTGATCCAAAGCCACAGGCTAAAGGCGTTAGTATCTTTTGCTCATTTGACCGCAGCTTCCCAAAGCTCATACTCGTTCTCTTCCCACTCTCGCTCTCTCTGTTCTTTCACCATGATTTCTGTCTCTTTGTGCCATCATTTGCTTCCTTTTCTCATCAAGGTGCTGACATGCACAGAACAAAACAAAACAAACAAATGGTCTTTAGCTTAACATCTGACCTTTCCCGAACCCCTGTCCATCTTGTTGTGTTGGGGGTTGATTTGATTTACTTTTCTTTTGATGGTTTGATCGGTTTCTTTACCATTATTATTATTTTTTCTATTATTTTGCCTTCCTAAGGACAAATGGAAACCACATCATTTGCTCTTATGTTTTTGTTTTTAGTTGTTTTAACAGGATTGTGGGGTTTCTTTTTGAAATATTATTTTAAATGTTTACTTGCCTGCAGGTTGTAGGTGAATCGCGGTGCTGACTTCTTCTCTGTTGTTTTTCACTCCTAAGATCATTGGGAACTCGCCGTCACATGGAAGCGCCGATCGTCTGGACCATTCAGGGAGGAGGCCGGTTCACATCGGCACCCCTCCTCAGCGACGACCTATCCCATCCATTGGTTAGTGAGGTCACCACATGAGGATCTCCACCTGCAGGGCCACTGATGTTTGTGCTTGTGATTTATACCATGTCTTACCCATATGAGCCGAGCTGTACATCTCTCCCATAGAGCTTAAACAACCACGTAGACCCCCCGTGTTTTTTGTTTTGTTTTGTTTTTTTGTTTTGTTTTTTGAGGGGGGTGGTGGTGTTTGCACACCCTGTAGCTGTCCATCCTCATGAGCTGGATTTGCCAAATGTTCACATGCAGTTTTGCAGGAAAGTTCACCTCAGACACGCCCCCACTGTCCCTGTGTTTACCGTGGGTTAACATGTTTCCATTACCAAGCCAATCCGACCTCCTCGCAAACAGTGCAAGCATTGCTGTTTTACATCCAGTGACTCCAGAGTGAAAACCTGTTGCCTTGTGCACCCTAACCCCACCCACCCACCCCCACCTCAGGGTAACCTCATCATCCTACTGTCTCAGCATGAGTGAATGGGCCATGGGGTAGAGCAGAGTGTGTGTGAGGGGGGATCTCTGACCGTTGTGATTGGTGTCTTCTGTAGAGATCACCATGGACAGTAACAGTGAGGGGAGTGAGGGGAACCTCTCACCCGTCAAGGAGGATGTTTACTATGGCAGTGTAGCTCGGCGCAGGATATGGCGATCTATGTCCTCAGAGGATCAATATGGTATGTGGTACAGCTTCTCTCCAAGATGACAATTCACCTTGACCATGCCAGAAAAGCCCAAGCGCTGTTGTTTGAACACATGCAGTGATGTCGCGGTGGTCTTTGTTCTGTTCTGGACAGCTGCTTTGTTTGGTTTAGTTTAGCTTAGCTGAAAAAAGCTGACGGGGGAAGACAAGACTGGCCACTTTTTCCTGTTGCTGGAGAATGAAAATCCCTTCCCTGTATGTACTCCTAATGCCTTAAACCCCAAGAAACCCCAACCCACCTATCCTGTCTTCCCATCTACCTTCCATGTCCAGCCCACTCTCCAACCTGCTGCAACTTAGCAATGCCTTTTTTTCCCCCCTTCCCCTCCCACCTTATTCTTTCCTCGACCTCCTCTTTTCCCTCTCCCTGCCTTTATGAGACTGTAGCCCCTTTTGTACGTTTTTGCATGAGCTGTTTACAGTACAGTGAGAAAGACGGACACACTACTGGATGAATTATTGCATTCCTGCTTTGTCCGTATCACTCAGGTGCACATTCATTACTTCCGACTGTTGAAGCACATTTTACACCACCCAAATGGCATATTTCAGTTGCTAAGCGGGAAGTTGTTGCAATATTTCCGAGCCATTTTTTAGACTTATAATCTGCCATTGTAACATTTAACATGGTGATCCATGAGAAGCATGAGGAACTGATATCAGATTCATCCTTTCCCCCTCACTGTCCCTGATATCTATGCTGCCAGGAGCTGCTGGGGCATTTGATGTGTTATCACCCATGTGAACGTGCCTCCTTTGCCCTTTTCCTCTGCACATTGTTTCCAGATCTGGCCTCAGAGCATGACATTACACCTGTGTTGTTGTGGGAACACCCTCCTCATTGTGTCTGAACTCATGAAAGCATGCATGCTAATCAGCCTCTGCGAGATAAGGCAGTGAAACAGCAATGAGCAACAGTGCAGTGTTACTTGTGTCCTCCTGGTGTGTATGGTTGTTCAGCTTCCCTTGCACCCTCCCAAAACTGCCTGACACGCATTTCCTGCCTGTGTTGTGTTGTTGTGTGACGTTTGGTAACTGACACGCCAGCAAGCAGAGATGTGTGAACAAAGAATCCCGGTGTGTTTCGATCGTTTCGTAAAAAAAAAAAGGGCCTGGTTGTTTTCCAAGTTAATATTATAACCAAGGTAAAATTGTATTTATCGCATTAAACCCCTGGCTCCTTTTTCACACATGCATCTCATCGCCCGCTCCCCTGTCAGCTCTAACAAAGAGACATCTTCTGCTCTCATTGCCTCTACAGCCAACGTGGCTGTATAAGGCTGGTAGTAGCAGCAGAGGCCTCCTCTATGTTTCAGACGGCTATGGTGGGCGCAGGCACGGGCGGGGACGGCGCTCCCCGGATTACTACGAGGAGTCCGAGCCGGAGGAGATGACCCGTGTGTTTGTGGCTCTCTTTGACTATGACCCCCTGTCCATGTCTCCTAATCCCGACGCTGCTGATGAGGAGCTGCCGTTCAAGGAAGGCCAGATCATCAAGGTGGTAGACTGTCTCTTTAAATACGTGCATACCATACAGACATGGTGGGGCAGTATTATTGGCCGATATTAGTTATTGGCTAATCTATCAATATCAGCATTTATAACAGCTAATGAATGAAAATTTAAAAAATCAATGAAGAAATGGGAGAAACATCCTTCAGCCATATTTTGAGTGATGAAGTTGCATAGTTTGTCCACCAGAGGGCACTCCCCTTTGTAGGGCTGTTCGATATAACATAAAAACATCTATCGTTTCATTTTACACTATCGTTTGTTTCGTGGTGTCGCAAAATAAACTGTTTACAGCAACATCTTTTCATAGTTTTTATGGTCACTGTAGTGGCTATATTAATTTCTTAAAGTTTTCTCTTTCTCTTATATTTAATATAACCACACTACGGATGGACAAGCGACTGTTTTTATGCGTTGTCGTTAGCAACAACGACGGTAAAACCATCACGTGTCCGCTTGTTTATTTTCCACATAAACCTTTCACAATAAAGCTCAAGATCCTGTTGAGACTTTTCAAAATAAACTGAACCACGTGAAAGAGTATGCAGAGAGTTTACGGATGAGAAGCAAAAAAGAGCCGTCAGGTGCTAAAACATATACCTTAGACTCAAACGTTACAACAGGCTTTTCCCCGCAGCACGCTGTGTAATAAATACTCACAATGAAAATGGTGGCCGTTACAACTTATGTCAAAAATTGTATAGTTTCATGGATCTATTAAAACACTCGACTCCAGGTACACGACACCCAGCTGGAAACACTTCCAAGTCCAGCTTCCTGAGATTCACAGAACTTACAGACAATGGTAAATTTTTGTGATTTATTTAGTTATCGGGACGATAGATGTCTTATATCGGGATATAAGAGTGTGGTCATATCGCACAGCCCTACCCCTTTGGCAACACAACAACCAAGGAAGGCTGTCTGAAAGAAAAAAGGATCAGCATCTATCAGTATATTGGATTTTAAAATCACCAAATATTGGTATGCACCTTATCCTATATCAGTCATCCTTTAGCTTCATAACCCCCAATTTTTTGTTATTAAATTCACCCACCTTTAAATGTTGTTACCTTTAAATAGCAATCCGGTCTTTAAGTGATGACGTGATGAATCCTGCTTCCGGGTTCAAACTACTCTGCGTTAATTAAGGCTGATGTGTTTTTAACATATTTTAATGCTTTGTATCTTCTTCCATTTAATCTCCTAAAAATGGTCAGTGATCACTGTCGGCCTCTCTGGGTTTTTATTACCGATATTAATTTTAAAGTTCAGTTTTTAAAACCTTACAATGTAACTACAGCCCAGCCCATGCAGCAGTATATTAATGGCTAACCTTGTATTGTGGATGGATTATCTCAGTTGTTCTAGTGACTGAAGTTTGTCCGTTTACAGCATCCTGCCATGCGATTGCATTTGTCCCTAACCATCGGGAACCCTCAAGTTAACTTTTATCAAGTGGAAAAAAGTTAGCGTTTATCCTCCAGCTTCACTGTTTATATTATGCTAGCAGAGCTGAGTCGCTAGCGATCACATAGCACATCATTAAATACCAGCTAGCCTAACTTCAGCAACCCTACAAACATCACTGCTGTTTACTTTCCTGTCTTCATTCATGTTGAAAGTGATAGCAGAGCTGTACGTATGAATTTGTTTCAGAAATCTCTCAGTCTGAACATGATATATTATATTTAGATGGAAACTAGCAAGCTAACTTCCTGCTAACTTTGTTAAATTTAATCAATTGTTTTCATGGATGCTTGGATGTTAAACTTAATTGTTACACCTGGTAGAGCAGCAACACTGATCATTTTATTAGAGATGAAAGAATTTAGACAGTTTTTCAACTCTCAGTGATGCCGCAGTGATCGTTTCACTTGGGGACCGGCAGTGGAGTTTGGGCCCAGACACGGCAAATGGCGTCAGACTTAAAGACCGGATAAGCTGTCCACTCCTAATCTGTCAGTTTCATGGTATCTGCCCTTTGACTCTGATACTTGTTCTTTTAGGTGTTTGGGAACAAAGACACGGATGGTTTCTACAGGGCAGAGATCCGAGATCGAGTGGGTCTGATCCCCTGTAACATGGTCTCCGAGATCCAAACAGAAGACGATGAAATGATGGACCAGCTCCTTAAACAGGGCTTCCTCCCACTTAACACTCCTGTGGAGAAGTTAGGTGAGACATGTTTTTCTTTTCCTCCTAAATGACCATCTGACTTTTCTTCTTCCTTCTGCCCTGATAACCTTTGTGTCTATCTAGCCAACTTAATGATACACTGGACTGTCTTTTACTGACTCGCTTCTCCTTTCCTCTACTCTCCCTGCTTAATTGTGTTTTTCTGCTTTCCTGTGAAGTGAACTGTGACCGTTTCAAAGATGGCCGCTCAATAAATCGCAGGTCCAGAAAGTCCAAAAGAGGTCTGTGTGCAGCGAGATGCTCTTAAGCTCTCCGCTTCATCTTTACTGCTTGTTTTTCACTCTTCACCATCTTTATTCATCTGTGGGCTAAATTTTTGTACCCCTCTTGAAAATGAGATGGTATATCTCAAGGGGTTTTCCAGATATAATGATTTTGAATACATGTATTATATTTTCTGTCATTCTAACATGGACACACTTTAAACTGAAGGCACATGGTCTTACACGAGCATTATGTATGGTCATTGGTCATCACACCCAGTTCCGTTTTTACATTCTTACCAGTGATTATTCTTGTCTCTCTATCTGTATTCTGCTTTTCTTCTTCTTAGAAAGAAACAGGCGAAGCGGGCGTCAGCAACCGATGTCCACGCGAAGAATGGTGGCTCTGTATGACTACGACCCCCGAGAAAGCTCCCCTAACGTTGACGTCGAGGTACCGTTCCCCGCAGCTCCAGCTTTCCGCTATGTCTCAATCATTGTTTGTCACAGAGGCGTAAAAGCAGAAAAAGCACCAAATATTTTGAGTCATGCAGGCAATGAGAGATTATATTCTACTATTAATGCTAGTATTTTTTCCAAGGTTTAGCATTTAAAGGAATATTTTGACCGTTTGAGAGATGCTCACTGTGTTGAAGAGTTGCATGAGAAGATTGATTTTACAGTCATGTCTGTCTGTTAAAAATGAACAGACATGAGGCTGCAGGGAGGGATCCACATATTTCTGGTTTCAAAAACAAATCTGTGTCGACCTTTATTTATCTTAGGTCATGTTAAGTATGCTCATGAGTTTAGGTTTACCACCATCTTGGCTTTTAGGAGCTTCACAACCACACTTGAATGAGAGGGTGAGGTGCTAAATTTTGGAGCTAACTTTTCAACAGGTTCCTAAAAAAAATGGAGAAAAATTCCTTAGATATCCAGTTCACTGTGTAGCGGGCTGTTATTTGTCAGATAATTGGGTTAAAGGCATGAAAGGTCCACTTTTTTGGCTTCAGTTAGCTTAGGTAATCCCTGACAGACAGCTGCGTTTAGTTGAAGCACATAAGCCCTTAATCATGCAGAACTGTAACCCTTAATGTATTTAGTCATTGCATTTAATTTTTTGCTGCTGGAAACCGATCACAAGTAGCTGGTGGCAACCAACTGGTTGCCCACCAACAACACTCCCTTTCAGTTGTAAAGCAGCTGCCAAGTTTATGTGTATTTCAGTTTAATTGAGTTTCTTTGTGTGCAGATCACAGTTAATTGCCGTATTATTACAAACAGATTGGATGCATTTGCCAGCTTCACCCTATTCAGGGGGAAATTGACAGCAGACTGACTCGGTGTCATTGCCATTTTATTGCCATCTTGACGCGCCTCCTTTTGAAGACGTCAGCTGACTGCAAGTGAAAACTGGTACCTGTATTCGAAGCAGATTACTTGAGATTGCAAGTTCACCGTGTTCAGTCGCAATAATTTTGCTCATCCTGTGGTCTTCAACCACTGTTCTCCCATTAAAAAATGTGAAACTACTCATTTGTGGATTGGCTTCATATTTCAGCCCTGGAGACGATTGCTCACCTGGTGCCCTGGTCTTATTTAACAGACAGATGAAGTTGTATTAATCTTCTTGTTAAACTCTTTAAGACAAAGTGGAATTATTCCCTTATTATTATTCCCTGGATAATATGTGCACAGGTGAGGTTATCTGAGGAGTTAGCGCTGTGTTAGCTTGTGCTGTCTTTTTTTTTTTTGGCCCCTCCCCCCATTTCACTTACTCTCACCTTTCTCACAGTATGAAGGCAACAGACTGAATGAGGAGGTGAGTGAGGGTTAGGAGGGTACGGTATTGTCTGCTCTCTGTGTGTTTCTTCCCCCCCACCCGTTTGTTGGAGTGCAAAAGAGGAGGTGGGCTTCGGATGCCAGGCCACGGCCCTCTGTCCTCTCCTCGGTGATCATGAATTAAAGCCCCTCACATGCATTGCCTGAGCCAGCATCTCCCCTCCTTGGTTTGGTCTTTTGTGTTGACCGCTCTCCTACATATTGTGCACATGCGCTGTTTGGTTTATGTGTTCTCCAGAATCCCATAAAAGAGATGTGCCCAGTGTGCTGCAATCCTGTCTTCAAAGTTACAACATTTGATGCATTAACAGTTGCAACAGTCCTGAGTGCTGAGACTGAATTGACACTAGTGTTTAAGATGCATCACAGTGATTTGGAGAAGGAAGCAAAAGCATTTCAAACTCATGACACTGCCCGAGAACTGGATGTTTTGGAGAGTGCTCGCTTGCTGTGACGGACAGAGATGGGCTAAACATGTCGTAATGCTGTTTTTTTTTCTTCTTCTTCTTTGACAGACTGAACTGACTTTCTGTGCCGGTGATGTCATCACAGTTTTTGGTGAAATAGATGAAGATGGATTTTACTATGTAAGTACACAGAATTCACATGAGCTGACCAGAGGACAAAGCAATACGAGGTTTATGGACAAAAAAAAGTGATTCAGCTAAAGGTTTTGGGGCACTTTATAAATTAATTTACTGTATTTTTCGGACTATAAGGCGCACTGTTGATGAACGGGTCTGTTTTCATACATAAGGTGCACCGGATTATAAGGCGCATTAAGCGCAACAAAACAGTCAGATAAGTCAAACTTTACTCAACTCATTCTTCTTGCTTCCTCCACTTCCCTACCATTAACTGATTAATGTTGAATTCTCTTGCAGCTGCTCTATTGCCATGTTGCTGCAGTATTTTAATGACTAACCTGGTATTGTGGCTGGATTATCTCAGTTGTTCTCCCGGCTGAAGTTTGGTATGTTTACAGCATCCTGCCATGCGACTGCATTTGTCCCTAACCATTGGGAACCCTCACGTTAACTTTTATCGAGTAGAAAAAGTTAGCATTCATCCTCCAGCCTTACTGTTTATGTTATGCTAACATAGCTGAGTCGCTAGCGATCACGTAGCACATCATTATATACCAGCTAGCACAACTTCAGTAACCGTACAAAAGTCACTACTGTTTAGTTTTCTGTCTTCATTTATGTTGGAAGTGATAGTAGAGCTGTACGTTTTAATTTTTTCAGAAATTTCTCAGAACATGCTATATCATGTTTAGATGGAAACTAGCGAGCTAACTTCCTGCTAACTTCTAACTCCATTAAATTTAATAAATTCTGTTTTCATGGACGCCTGGATGTTATTTAATTGTTACTTAATTGTTACACCTGGTAAAGCAGCAACGCTGACAGTTTTTAACTCTCAGTGATGCCGCAGTGTTCGTTTGACTTTGGGACCTGAAGCGGAGGGAGTTTTGGACCCAGATTATTCCGCAAGGTTCTTGACTACGGTAGCCGTAATGCTCCAACAATCCATCAACCGGTGCGGCTTCGTAGTTTACCAAAGTCGTGCTAAAACATTTTTTGACAGATTGCCGTGTACCACATAAAATTGGTTCGAGGTCAGTAAGCACAACCAAAATTCACACATAAAGCACACTGGATTATAAGGCGCACTGTTGATTTTTGAGAAAATTAAAGGATTTTAAGTGCGCCTTATAGTCTGAAAAATACGGTATAGAATATGCTTTACTGTAGCGGACTATCTTTTGTCTACAGGAACCAATTTGCAATTACAGTTTTTCATGGCGGATTTAGGTTCTGTCTTCATGTAATCCCAGACTGAAGCCAGGCATTGAGATCTTGGCCAGATTTCTCACAGCTGAAGATGCTTCTTTAGGTGTCAGTGATCAGATTTCTCTCTGATACAGTTATGCAAATGATCAAATCAATCAATCATAATATTGTTTTCTTGTGAAAGAACATATGATACCAAGATCCTGTCAAACACAGGAAGGTTCTCCTGCAGTTAAAGGAAAATGATAACACGCATCTAAAAATGGTTATGTGAGAATGAAGGAATATAATGAAGGATTAATTGGCCTAAAACTGCAACACAAGAACAGGCTTGGCAGAGAAGGAAATTAATAGTGAGGAAAACAACCATCAACCACTTTATTAGGTACACCTTCCTGTATCAGGTTGGATCCTCTTTTTGCTCTAGGACTGCTTTAGTTCTTCGTGGCACAGATTCAAGACGATTCTGGAAATGTTCCTTAGAGATTTTGGTCCATATTGACATGACAGCATCACACAGTTGCTGCAGATGTGTTGGCTGTACATCCATGTCGTGCACCACATCCCAAAGGTGCTGTGATGGATTGATGTCTGCTGACTCTGGAGGTCATTTGGGTTCAGTGAACTCATTGTTGTGTTTCAAGAAACCAGTTGAGATGATTTGAGCTTTCTGACATGATGCATTATGTCACTGGAAGCAGCCATCAGAAGATGGGTACACTGTGTTCATAAGGGGATTAGGATGGTCTGCAACACTACTCAGGTAGTGTTTAAATGATGGTGACCTGATGCTAAGCGACACCATTGCACCACCACCAATTTGAAGCGTTGATACAACGCAGGTCTGATTCATGCTTTCATGTTGTTTCTGCCAAATTCCGACTCTACCATCAAATGTTGCAGCAGACATTGAGACTCATCAGACCAGACAACATAATTATATTCTTTTGTTGATCAATTTAGGTGAGGCTGTGTGAATTATAGTCTTCAGTTTCCTGTTAGAAGTTTCCTTGCTGGAGTGGCTGCCAGTGTGGTCTTGCGTTTTTGAAGCCCATCTGGTTGTGTATCCAGAGATGCTTTTCTGCATTTGCTGGTCATAACCAGCTGTTGCTTTCCTCATCAGCCGAATGCAGTCCGGTGATTCTCCTCTGACTCCTGGCATCAACGGGCATTTTCCCCCAGAGAACTGCTGCCCACTGGAGATTTTCTCTTTTTCAGATCGTTCTCTTTAAACCCTAGAGATGGTTGTTGGAAAAATCCTAGTAGATCAGCAATTGTTTGAAATCCTCAGACCAGCCCCTCTGGCATCAACAACCATGGCAGGTTCAAAATCACTTAAAACTCTTTTTGTCCTCAACCTCCGAAGCTCGTCTTGACCCTATCTACATGCCTTTTAGCATTGAGCTGCTGTCACGTGATTGGATATTAGATATTTGCGCTGATGAGAAGCTGAACAGGTGTAACTAATAAAGTGGCTGGCGAGTGTTCCTCAAGTTTCTCGGTTTTACTGCTGCTAAAATTCTCCATCCCTGCTACGCGGAGAAAGGTTTAAAGCACAAGGTAAAAACTGAAAGTTAAATACACCACAGTGAGTCTCGCTGTCCTCATGTACTCCACAGGGTGAGCTCAATGGACACAAGGGACTTGTTCCTTCCAACTTTCTAGAAGAAGTGCCTGATGATGTAGAGGTTTTTCTCACTGACTCACCATCTCGGTACCCCCAGGACACTCCAGCACGGATAAAGACCAAAAGGGTACATGCTCCTTCGCAGTACTAGCGCTCTGTCATCCATTTACTGTTTTCAGTTCCCTCTATCTCCTTTAGTTTTGTGTCTGTGCGTGTGTGTCTCATTGAGCAAAAAGGGATTTCTGACTTTATAGCATTACACTGTAAATAAATAGATGTCTAAGAAATCGATGAAAAGAAAAAAAAATGAAATTTTAAGACAGAGGTATTTTATTTTTCATGTTCACTGCTGTGGGTGGGAGTGGGAGTTCTGCATTGTATAATACATGGATATATTGTATTCATAAAGCATTCTCAATGAGAGTAAAATTAAAGGGCAAGAAGCTCCTGTGACTTTTTACTTGTCATGTCATGTCTGGGAAAAGATTCGTTAATACCTTTTTTTGCACATGTGTATTTAGCATTCTGACAGATGCTTTATGAATATATTCTGTGTTTGATCTTAAGTCATTTCTAATAGAGTAAATAGTTTTGTTGTACTGAAAGATGAACTATGTAGTGTGTAGCTCAGCATGGTATATAGTCCAGATGCATGAACTCTTGATCATTTTATATAAAGATGAGTCTAGTGTAGTTCAACTTTTTGTATCTGCTCCTGAACACCTTGTTTTGTAAATTGCTTTCTTGTAAAGTAGCACGCAAAGGTCACTTAGCCTATGTTGCCATCAGAGAATCATTTCAGAAGTAACTCTTTACTAAATGTAAATATGTGATGTTATTTTTGTGTTTTAACAAATAATGCAATTGTTAAAAAAGAATATATTAATAGGTGTCATTAGATATTTCCTTCCTTGTGTTCTAATTTGCCATTGTCATAGTGCAAACTATTGAAATGCCATCACCATATTTTTTTGTTTTATTTCTTTTCCTCACCTGCTTGGCAAAACAGAAGAAGAGTGTTCATTTCACACCTTAAAGGCTCTGTTTCCGTCACGTAAGTGAGCAACTGAGGATACCAAGATTACGCTCCCCTCGTCTAATGCAGATGTCATGGGTACCCTTAGTTTCTGGTATGCAACATGTATACTTTGTATGACATTCCTGTAGGTTGTTTTAGGAAACTTCTCTGTGTTACCAAAAAACTTGATGCTGTTTGTTGGTAGGACATAGAAACCCTAGCCAATGCATTAGACAAAAAAAAGGTGTGGTATCTTCAGTTGTTTCTCTGAGTGTTGTACATGACAATGTCCGTCTCCTGAAGCAAGGCTCCTGCTGTAAGTCATGGTAAGCTAAAAGGCCATTGTTGCACAGCGACCCTCAAATCTGGAAAATAACAGTTCAAATTAGATATACAGTAAAATCACGGAAAAGCAGAAAATCGAGCAATTCTATGCAAAACCACATTCACAAAAATAAACATTTTAAACAAGGTTGTTTGGTTTTACACTTCAAATTGTCACGTTTTTTCTTCTTCCTGTAGCCAAATTTAGGATGGGTTTTGTTATTATTATTATTATTATTTTGCCTTTTCTTGTTTGTGATCTGGTTTTCAAATCAGTCCTAATCCTGTGAACCAAGATTAGCTAGTTGACGACCAAGAATTGGTTCTTAATTCAAGTGAGACTATGCAACTTTTGCTGCACAGCGACCACTGCAAATGGCACTGAAGGTGCCGTGCAAAACAGCTGCATTAGCATTTAGCTAAAATGCCAAGGCGGAAGCCTGACTCTGAGCAGTGGTGCATTTTATTTTGTGCTTTGACTTGTAATTGGACAAACAATTTTCTCTCAAAGGTCACGTAGACTAGCTTTCAAAATCACACTTCATTTTTACCCGTGTGTAAATTACTGTGCGTTGACACATGTATATATAAATGCAACTTCGTACAAATGTGATCTTTTGTCCTGTGTCTTCCCAAAGTGCAATTTAAAGGAGCCTTTTAGCTCATGATTACAGAAAAGGAAGAGTGGCTGGTGGTTTCTCTGTAACCCAGTTGTATCAGTAAATATGTATATGTAAGAGGGAGGAAGGTGAATGTGATGTAGATCTGTCCCAAAATGCAAATGTATCTTTTTATGTGAGAGGAACTGCCCCGCCTTTGACAGTGTTGGGAATGTTGTCACCTTAAACTGATGTGGAAGTTAGTCAATGTCAAGTCTAAAATTCCATGTTCCTGTAGTTTATTCATAGCAGCTTCATTTAAAAAAAAAAGAAAAGAAAAAAAAGCTATATGTACAAACACTGTTTCTACCTGACAGAGTGGGTGGGGTGGGTCAACATCCAGGGAGGGCAGTAGACTTCAGAGCTATGCTGGCCCAGCTGAGACAGAAAGGACTTAAGAGAAGGAGGGGAGTAGTGACAGGGGTGTTAGAGACGGTTGGCTTTTTAACACCCTCAACTGTCCCTTACGGGTCTCCCATTAGGTTCCATTGGAAAAATCGGGTCCGCCCAGAAGAGCAGCCTCTTCCACAGTGCGTCCACACATCCCTGGCTCTGGCCCCGCCACCGTGGGGCCCGGCAGTCCCATCAGGGCCCCAATGGACATGTACTCCAAAAAGAAAAAGGGACTGCTCTCCAAAGGGAAGAAACTATTGCAAAGACTTGGCGCTGTAAAATAATTTCTTGACATACTTGGAGAGTGTCAGCCATATCCTTGTAGTGTTTTAAAAACAAACTCATCCAAATGCAGTGGACAGGTGGCATTTGTGAGCTTAGCAAATGCTTTATTCTTTTACATCTGTTGTACACTAGAATATTTGTACTTTGTCGAACAGTATCCACTCATATTTTCAAAAACATTTCATATTACGGTCCCAAGACCTCATAATGTCGGACGATGTAGTGATCTTACCTCCAACTCTCTGGCTGATGAGATTTTGCTGTAGAAAGGAACGACGGAGCCTGCAGCGATTTCCATTTTCTGCTTGGTCAAGTGCGACACTTAAGAGACATCATGAGTCAAGTGTGTTGTACACAGAAACCAGAATGTCGTTCAAATACTGAGGGCTCACTTAAACCTTGGAGTCCAGTTTGAATTTGATGTGAAGATGGATTTGAGTGTCTTTACTTGAGCTAGTCCAAAACAGCCAGTCGTAAATTGTACACAAGGTTTGCATGCGTTACTTCAGCACATTCCCTCCTGGCCCCTTCAGATCGCATACGATGCAACGGGGTTAGTGTGGAACCTGGAGCATGCAGTACTTTTAAGTCAGCATAGCTGACATACTGTGCAGTAAACGTTGACAAATCAGCAGAATTAACTCCTTCTCTTCTGCCCTACTTCAACAGCTGTGATATAGGCATATTTCCCTCCCCAGAGACGTGTCAGCAACAAGCACATACTGTATTTACTACAGGGTCTTTGCAGTCAAATCAGCCTAAATGACAATGCCTAGTATATCCAACCTCCATGTATTTGCCTTATAATTGCACAATGGGTAGTACTTTGTCCAGTAGAGCAGCGGTCCCCAACCTTTTTTGCACCACGGACCGGTTTATGCCCGACAATATTTTCATGGACCGGCCTTTAAGGTGTCGCGGATAAATACAACAAAATAAAACTAGTACCGGTACCAAAAAAACGAAAATTTATTCATAACACATGTGAAAAGACCAAGGAAAACTGAGTAAACGATAACAAAATAACCCTGAAAACTATACATTTCACACCTGAGCCTCAACTCTCGTGGCCCGGTACCGGTCCGAGGCCCGGGGGTTGGAGACCGCTGCAGTAGAGCATGCAGTTTCATGCCTACTATTCATTTATGTTACTTCATAAAAGGCGTTCGCAAATGTCAATCCCAACTTGTGACATGCAGGGTATTGTGTGACTGTTGTGTTTCCATGCGACAGAGCTTACGTAGAACTATTCAAGTCTCCAGTGTTCTCGTCCATTTATTGTTAAACCTCTCAAAAATAAACATTTTTGTAATCCTAGAAAAACTTTTGAAAATTCTCCCCCTATACCAAATTCATATGTATGGAGATTTTTTTAAAGTTGACACTATATTCCCAAATTAAAACATGACTTTACAGTTGCATTAAAGAAATAGTTACTGTGCGATAGGGCATCGGCAGATCAAATCAGCCATTGTACTGCGGTGGATTTCTAACATGCAACACTTCTGAGCTTCACTAAATGCTACAGGTTTGATGACTTCACAGTAGTAAACAGTGAGACACAAGGCTACCTCTATGCTGCCCCTCCTAACCCAAAATATATTTGATCTGAAATACTTTTCTTCAAGCCAATCCGTCAGTGATGCCTGTTCAGTGTCCCACTTTATGTTGGTGCAGGATACAAGTACTGTATATCGATATATCTATATATATCTACACCTTAATGTAGAGTAGTGAATGTACAATGAATTGAAGGCCAATGTATTTTCAAAGCTGCCCTAAGGGATTGTGCAGATGTCCATCCTTGTGCGTGAAATGGAACAGTCCACCTCCTCCTACCTTACATCATTCAGTTTCCCCATTTCATCCTCCCATGCCGTTTAAATCCAGACTATTTTCTATACACAAGAGTTGAACTGAAACTGCCAAAAACAAAGAAGAAAAAAAACAAAACAAGAATGTATGCAAAACATTCTGATGCTTTCTGTACAATTCTCGGCCAGACCGCCATCTGCACCTACAGTAAACTGATGAACACCTTTTTCCTATTTACGAACCACTTCCTCAGACATTGCTTCTCTTCATTTTGAGTGACTGTTGCTCTTTTTGTACTTTGTCCATTTGTAAAATTGTTTTTAAATGTTTATACTTGATTTTCAGACTGCCTTTTTTGTACATTTAAATTTATAATCAAACAGTTTAAGCTTTCCCCATGGTGTCTTGAAGACCATATTGTTTAAAAGTCTGCAACTGTGTGCTAGCTTTATGATAAGAATTATCAGCCTATATTGATGGTTACAAATTATTGTGTGGGTGTGCATGTGCAATCTTTTATATAAAAAAAATAAATAAATTTGATATTTTGTAATGTAATATTGGACTGACTTGCTTTGAAATGCCAGGAATTACAAACAGATTTATTGATTTGTGAGTAAATGAATACAGAAAGTGTGACAGCATCTAGGTTAAATCTTGTGCTGCAAATGATAACAATAAAAGGCTCAAATATAACAAAACCAAAGATTATAGATACTCAACAAAAAAAAAAGAAGACTTTTCCCATCACTTAAAGTATAACTGATCGAACTACTGCATTCAATTTGGCCTCCGAAACAACAACAACTAAGCTCAAACAACAACAACAACTAAGCTCAAACAACAACAACAACTAAGCTCAAACAACAAAAACTAGTAAATAAGATTGTCTATGCAAACTGGGCCTTTTTATCTTTAAAGGTAGAAAAGCTGGTCATCCAGCTTCATATTGGGCTCTTTGTGGATGCTCTGACCCACAAGGAAAGCCAACTTGTGGGCGTACTGGCAGGGAGCAGGCACTCTGATGATCCCCTAAAGCACAAAGAAAAACAATCAGGCATGACCAACACAATGCCATAGCCAGTGACATTTACACAGTCGGGGAAAATTATTTGATCCCTGCTGAATTTATACGTTTGCTCACTTACACAGAAATGAAGTCTAATTTTTAATGGCAGTTTTATTTTAACAAATACAGAAAAAAAAACATATCAGAGTTATGAATGGATTCACATGTCACTGAGTGAAAAAAGTATTTGATACACAAGTAAAACACAAGTGGGTACTTGGTGAAGGAACTCTTGGCCAGTACAGCCGTATAGTCTGTCACCAGGTTTGCACACATCTCTGGAGTGATTTTGGCCCGGTCCTTTTTACAGAAACTAAATCCTTTAGGTTTCTCAGTTGCCACTTGGGAACTCAAAGCTTAAGCTCCCTCCACAGGTTTTCTATACAATTGAGGTCTGGAAACTGACTAGACCACTCAATGACCTTAATGTACTACTTCTTTGGCCGGTCATCATTATGGTGGAAGACTGATTCGGACTACGGCTGCCACGATTAGTCGACTATCAAAATCGTCGATGACTAATTTAATAGTTGATGTGTCGTTTGAAGCTTTGTAAGATCCCAAAAGACGCAGGAATAAGTAGTAGTATTTAAGGGTGTAATAACGGACTGAAGCAGAAGATGGCAGCACTGCATGTACAAGGATGCCAGCTGCTGTTAAACCTTGAAGAAGAAGAAGCAGTGTCCCAGAATTCGTAGCGCGGCCCTGCTCAGTTTCTAACAATGGCGGCAGCTAGTTAGTTTTAATATTACTCTTATTATTCTTTCTGGGTCACAAAATAAACGTTTAACATATTTTCAGGCGAGAATGTAGCCGTGTAAACTTCAAATATCTGCTCAGTTTATCAAGACAACCACATATTTTCAAAAGCGCTTTGACGTTTTCGGAGACGTCTGTTACCCACCAGCTCGATAGCGAGCCAGGGTTCAAGGCTCACCAGAGCCGGTGAGAACACCGGACTCCCGGCAAATCGTTTTCAGACCCAACGCCGTCTTTCACTACTCAGGTTAAACATGATATATAAGTCAGTTAGATAACTTAAAAATGTTATCGTTTGGCTTTTTTTTTTTGTATTTTATTTGTTCCTGAGTAAATCGGTTTGGCTGAGATTAAAGTTTTAGTTTTTACACAGCTGAATAAACATCAAGCAGACAACTGATTATCAGAAGTGTGAGATGCGCGAGAATTTACTCCGGTGTCCTGTTATAAAGGAGCAACGGCTGAGTTTATTAAACTCCACCGAAACAATCTGCAGATTTCACTAAACTTTAATAAACTATCATCTTGTCTTTATTTTTAGTTAACACATACCATAAACACTTAAAGCTGTAAACTAATGATAGTTATATAAGAGCAGATGCTGCTGGTGCAATAAGCTGTACGTTTTACGTCCAATGGATGCATGATCTGATTAGTCGACTAATCGCAAAAATAATCGGTGACTAGTCGACTATCAAAATAATTGTTTGTGGCAGCCCTAATTCGGACCCACCTTTAGTCTTCTGTGCTCTTATCGGAAAAACACCTCCAAAGTACAAAGTTTCCGAGATCATGTTCTTTGGTAATACTCTGCATTTCTTGTCCTACAAACACAGCGGGTTGAGCTGATGCCAAAGAGCTCAATTTTGGTTTCATCTGACCGCAGCACTTTCAAAGCGTTCTCTAAATCATTTAGTTGTTCACTGGCGAACTTAAGATGGGTGTGCCATGTGCCTTTCTGGTGTCCGTAGTCCCAGCTGCCTTCAGATCTCTAACAAGCTCCTGGCATGTAGTTTTGTGCTGATGACCACCTTTCTTGTGCACCCCATGAGCAAAGATCGTATGTGGAGCTCCAAACCGAGGGCAACTGATGGTCATTTTATATTTCCAGATAATTGCACCAGTAATTGTCACCTTCTTACATCCCATTCCCCGTTTGTCCTTTGACAGCTCTTTTTCAATTACTGAAAAATATAATTAATTGAAGAAATTGATTCTGTAGACAGGTGTGCTTTATAATTAGACACTCTTGAACTCCTTGATTGTAATTTGCCAATTTGAGTCAGAATTCTGGCTGGGTTGTAGGGGATCAAATAATTATATCACTCATTGATTTTTGACTGATATTCTCCCTCCATTAAAATTAAATTGTATTGCTTTGTAAATTTCTAAATTAGAGTCGATCATTCAAAAATGTCATCATTTAATGAAAACTCCTTAAAAACACTGAGGAGAAAGACACCTGATTATGACCAGTTTAGATGAAGACAACATTTTCAGTGTAGAAAGATTTCTACTCAAAAAGGTCACTCTGATGCCAGCCTACCTGCCAGTTGTAGTACATGTGGCAGAGCTTGTAGGTGAGCCGCTGCATGTGATCTGGCTTGAGTCCACTGGTGTCATACACGACATTGTAGTGGGTTGGTGAGACACTCCCACTGCGAACAGCTTGGCTCACAATATAGAAGTCATACCTAGAAAACAAACGTGCAACAGTACTGTCACAATACAACTGCTCCTATGTAAATATCAAAAGACCGTTAACAGCTAAAAAAAAAACCAAAAAACAACACCCCCCCCCCCTCAAAACAAGACGTACCACTCTGGCCGGGTGACCTCTGCGTCAACGATGGTGCCAGGAGGAGGATTGGACACCTTGCCATTTATGTGGGCGAAAAACCTGCTGCTTATGCGCTTCTTCACCACCACCACACTCAGCTTTGGGCTACAACAAAAGGACAGAGGCTCTGGGAAAACCTGACATTTCTACTAAATCATCTCAACTTTGTTCTTTTGATGCTCAGGAATAAATACTAACAGCACTACAAAAACGTCCATGTTCCAACCAGTCATTTTACTTTACTGTCCTTACAATTCTCAAATCAAAGGAAGGAATCATGTATGACCATTTGTGTTATCAAATGCAAATTTAACTGCCTCTGAGGGCAACCGTTTTTAGAGATTTAAAAAACACCATAACCGTTGGAGATGTAAAAACTCACTTGTAGTCTTGCCCCATTGA